GCCATGCATCACTCTACGCTCAGTCTCGCATAACAAGAAAGCGGTACAAAAGCTGGTAGACGCAGCGTGATAAATAAAGAATGCATCAGCGTCCAAAAGTGAGCAACCATGACGACTGCATCATTTATGGCGGCTGCCCAAGTCGTTGTACTGAGTACATGATGCAAGAAGCCAGTCACTGGGCGCACAGATCCAGCCTCCCTAGCACTGCGAAGGGGGGACAGTTTGCTGGCCAACTGCTTCCTGGTTGGCCACAGTTGAATGACTCACAGAGTCAGCGGGCGGTTGGGGGGGCTCAATAGCCTCAATATGAAGGCACGACAAAAGGAAACCCCCATAATCTGCCTTTCACTCCCTTGTCGCACGCTGACTGGACACGGGAATGGCAAAATTCAAAATTCAAAATTCAAAAAATTCTGCTGTGCGGAGTGTCCGTTAAACAGGCTTTGTGCAGCCATTTAGTCGCGTGACATTTTGACCGAGCCATATTCTTGTTGCAGGCAATGTAATGGGGTGACTTTGCTGATGAGACGCTTGCGAGACGACTATCGCAGTGAAATGAGCTCGATTCAAATGACCCTGCTCAAGAAGCTGGGTGACGACGCGTAGTAAAGGAGGGCGCGTGGGCTGAACAAAACAGTCAGTGAAGGGGGCAGAGCGTGTTTCAGGGTCCCATCGTGTTGGTGGTTAGGTTGGGTTGGAAGGGGAAAGAAAAAGTCCCACGGGGGGCGAGCAAAGGGTTTGACAGGGCGGAGCATGGCTAGAACCAGAGTTAGTGGTGCCCGCTCCGATAAGGAGCGACGGGGATACGCGACTGCGATTGGGGCAACAGAGACGATCTTGGTGCGCCGACGAGCGAGAGCAATCAGAGTCAGACGCTGATGAGTGGGAGTCAGTCTGAATGAGTGGGAAGCCTAAAAAGCAACCAACCGCGCCAGCACCCTTAGTCGGACTAGCCCCCCGGCCCATAATTCCAGTCCGCATCCGAGGCCCACAGGCCTGCGAGTCTCCATGGATAGGCGCTGTGACGCTGTTGTCGCCGCCGGATTGCGTGCTGATGCCGTCGCAGTATCCGGCTTGAGTCAAGCCAGTCCAGGTCAAGGCAGGCTCTGTTCGTCGATGGGTCTCGGTGCCCGCCTTTGCTGTCTTTCGTGATCGTTCCCGTCGGTATTTGGGATCGTTTTCGTCCATCTCGACTCGGTCGGTACCGGTTCACGTCGTCCTTCGCTTCTCTCTTCATTCTCTATCGTGTGTTGCCTTTAATCATCTTCGAGGTTATCGCCGTCGTTCGTCATCGAAATCGATCCAGCTTTTCGTAGCTGGGTATTGACTTGCAGATTACTGTTGAGGGTTGTTGGAGAGGAGGAGGTGCAAGGTGAGAGGTGAGGTGATGGAGGGACAGAAAATAAAGCGCAGGGAAAGGGATGACGACGACAGCAAAAAAACTCGCAGCCAGAAAACGAGGAAAACTGCTCACGCCAAGCTGTGGAAGAAATAATCCCGATACTTGTGAACTGGTAAGAGAGAAAAGACACGCGATTACAGTGCATGCTGTGACTCAAAGTTAGTTAGTGCTGCTTGGATGATATTGTCACTTGGGTTGGTTCATCTCACCTGAAGGTGTCACGCTTAGACCGTTGCTTCTTCTGATCCGTGTACACGTCTTGGCTCCCTCGCTAGCCTGCTTGTGTCTCTTGCGACTGAACGGAGAGCAAGCAACGCTGGCGAGGTTGATAGCGAGCCGCTATTACCCACATGTATGGCCTGTATCGGGCAGCAAGGCAGCCAGTTAGTGGCGATCCTTAAATCCTGGAAGCTCGCAACCCCAGTGCATCAGAACCTGCAGCGCCTGAGTCCAGAGCAGCGGAAAAAGTTTGGGCACAGGTCAGGTCGTGTTGCAAAGTCAAAACAGAGGTACCGATACATGTGTACATAGACTTTGAGTCTGCTATAGCGACACTTCAGGGGCTCAATGCTGAGACTGGGGTGAGTGGGTGGGGAAAAAGGAGATAAAATCAGCGTCGCAAGAGTGTTTGATTGGATCAACTCAGCTTAGCGCAGAGACTAGCTCATGCCAAGCCTGCCAGCGTCGGACGCCACAGGTCGTGTTGTTGCCTGGGGTGTCCTGCCTGAGCAGCCATTGCTCAAAATTATAAAGAGCCAGGCCTCCCCTCGCCCGCCTGTTTCGAAGGACCTGCGCGGAAGTCCCGACTGACGGCCCTACGTACCAACCACTTACGTCCGGCCTCTCTTTTTATTTTTGATCCCCCACGACGTCACACCCCACATCTACACTTTCACATCCCAATCTGTGTGGACAATTACCATCTTGTCCCATATCAGTCTGAGCCTTGAATCATCTCGGGCTTTGTCTCTCTCCTCTTCACTTTGTCAATACATCACGACCCTGCTGTCGCAGACGTGATCACACTCTCTAGGTCACAGCCCTTGCGACCAGGTTGCAAGAACTGAAAAACGTTCCTTGCCCTCTTCGCTCCTTGCGCGCAACCGACATCGTTGAACCCGACCAAGACCGGAACGAAGCGATACCCGCCGACACCGTCATCGTCATACATCGAGTCGTCGCGCTATTGTAGACAACAATAGAAAAAAACAAGAAGCTGTCGTGAAGTGAAAGAAACTTTTGGTCTTCTAAAACTATAATAACTTGATCGATACATCGACTCGAGGGAAAAGGCCACTGTCTTTCTACCATCTTCCAAATCGTTCCGCATCGAATCTTTGAGTTCGTCGCTTTTAAGGAACAAAATTTTGCTGGGCCAGTTTCTTTGTAGGGGACACATTCACTTGTTTCTCTCCCGCGATTGGTAGGTAGCCCCTCTGATTCACTGCACCGCCCCACTATCCCCGCCCTATAAAAGGCCTACTTCTCCTCCCATTTCTCAACTTCTCTCTCGCAACACCACAACGGCGCTGCACTTGTTACCGGTCGCATCGTCACCATCGCATCTACCTTCCAGGGTAGGATGCACGCTCTTTTCCTCGATGCGCGATGCTAACTCGGGTCTTGCTCTAGATCTGTTCAGCGATTTTTTTTAATAACCGTTGACGCATCTCGATACCGACTCCAATCATGGAAGGCATCCAGACACACCCATCGAACGCGGCGCAAGCCAAGGCGTTCACGGCGCCAGGATCGCTGTCGTTCCCTGGAGCTACCAACGAGCTGACACCTCCGCCCGTCGGCACTGGTGATGCTGCTCAGCGACCTGCCCTCAACGGCCAGCAGGCGGCAAATGGCAATGGGGTGGCACCCGCAACGCCTGTCGCGACGCCTGCTGCTACTCAAGGACCTAGTGGAATTACCCCCACTCTACAGTATGTATCCTCCTGAGTGACCTTTTTATGCTCAGCGAGGCTTATCTGGCAAACTTTAAAGGAACATTGTGGCTACAGTGAACTTGGACTGCCGCTTGGACCTCAAGACTATTGCTCTGCATGCTCGTAACGCAGAGTACAACCCTAAGGTACTACACATCTGACGTGCATACCGAGTAAGAAACACGTTGCTAACAGGAAAAGCGTTTCGCTGCTGTCATCATGCGAATCCGCGAGCCCAAGACCACCGCTTTGATCTTCGCTTCCGGCAAGATGGTCGTCACTGGTGCCAAGTCTGAAGACGATTCGAAGCTCGCTTCAAGAAAGTACGCTCGTATCATTCAGAAACTTGGATTCAACGCCAAGTTCACCGACTTCAAGATTCAGAACATCGTCGGCTCTTGCGATATCAAGTTCCCTATCCGACTCGAGGGTTTGGCATCTCGCCATCACAATTTCAGTTCTTATGAACCCGAGTTGTTCCCCGGTCTCATCTACCGTATGATCAAGCCCAAGATCGTGCTTCTCATCTTTGTCAGTGGCAAGATCGTCTTGACTGGTGCCAAGGTCCGCGAGGAAATTTACCAGGCCTTCGAGATGATCTACCCTGTGTTGCAAGGTATGTCTTTGTTCACCCTTGTTCTGGTCGCACTGATACTAACATTCCTCACCAGATTTCCGCAAAGTCTAAGGTTCCACTTGACTCTTTGTCATCTTACATCCGACAATACAATGTCACCTTCTCGACGTGTATGACTAGACAACCCGTCATGATACCACGATTGCTTTCATGTTCTCTGGCTTCCACCTGGTCTTGATGCCCAGGCTGGAGGCCGAGAATTTGCGTTTGTACCATTTTGAATTTCTGCATTGCATTGGCGTTGGCAGGGGCGGCTAGGAAGGGGATTATTTACGAGGGATTTCGGTTCTGGGGAAAAGCAAAGACTACTCATCCCGCGACACATCATAGATTGCCCGCGCCAGTACTGTGGCGCACGCGCTCAGTTGATTTGAGCGCTTCTAATATTCCTGAGGGACTCGTTGAGCTGAGAGAGGGTGCTGAGGAAACAAAGTCGAACAGTTGCCCGAATGAGCCTTTTGAAGGTTCAGTCCAAAAGAAAAACATGAACTTGGTAACGAGTTCGTGAAAACATGGAGAGCATACCCCAGCATCTGCTGGTGGTTAAGACAATCATACCGTTGCCTTGAACTTCAACCAACATCCGCGAGATGCATGTCTCCAGAGTGTGCAGGTTTTTTTCTCAGTAGTGAGATATAAATAAAGTTTTAAGTTCTCTCCCAAGTTTGCAGTCGTTTTGATATTTTGTGTGTGAAGCTCGCGTGCGTCAATGATGCATGATTATCCACTCACGTGCCCAGCCAATAATGGCATTCTCTTTGTTGTCGATCGGCAAACTAGCCCCGATTCTCGGCAGCACCAAAGACTTATCAGCCGATTTTTGGGCCCGTTCTAGTGTCGTTGGGGACTCTCTCCTACTCGGACAACGCCGTGATCGGTGTGGGAACGGGGAAAAGTCTTCGCATTTCATCGGCCCATGTGAACTTTCTTTTGTTGACAGTTGCAGATAGATAAGTGATCGTGTCTCGCAGGAAGCCTTGTTTCTCTTCTCCTCGACCGTCCATCATCTTTGTCTGTCACAATGGCCGGTCCTCCCTCTTCCATTCTTATCGTTGGCTCTGGAGTCTTCGGGCTCGGTACCGCCTGGGCTTTGGCCAAACGACCACACTATTCCAGCACCTCGATTACTGTCGTCGACGACTGCGCAGGGCAATTTCCTCCAGAAGATGCTGCCAGTGTAGACTCGTCTCGAATCGTACGAGCCGACTACTCGGACCCTTACTATGCCGCGCTTGCCGCCGAGGCGCAGAAGGAATGGCGAAAGCAGGGTGATCATGAGGTCGGCGGGCAGGGACGATATTCCGAGTCGGGCTTTGTTCTCTGCGCGAGCGAGACTCCTCAAAACTTCAAGCTCAAGAAGTCTGGCATGGACTACACCAAGGAGAGCGCCAAAAACGTCGCGTCGATTGCTAAGGAGACTGGTCTGCCCGTGGATAAGATCCAGAAGCTGGAGAGTACCAAGGCTCTCCAAGAGTTCCTTGGCACAGACGGTTATCCCGGAGACTGGGGCTACCTCAATGGCAACTCTGGCTGGGCTGATGCTGGGGAGGGTATGAAGTGGCTCTATAAGCAGGCCCAGGCCACAGGACGTCTTCATTTTGTCAACGGCAAGGTGACAGAGCTCGTAACAGAGGGTGACCGAGTCATTGGTGCGAAATTGAGCGATTCAAATGTTCTCAAGGCCGATGTGGTCATGGTAGCTGCTGGTGCTTGGTCCGGCTCACTCGTTGACCTTCGAGGAAGAACAGAGGCTACTGGCCATGCTGTCGCGTATATGGACATCACACCGGAAGAGCAGAAGCGACTCGACAACTTCCCTGTGGTGTTGAACCTCAGCACCGGTCTCTTCCTCATTCCTCCTCGAAATAACGTCCTCAAGGCCGCCCGGCACACATTCGGTTACATTAACCCGGTCAGGATTACCAACGCTCTTCCTCCTTCGCCCAACGATAAGCGGGAACCTTTCATCGCATCCCAACCCTACACCTCTCGCAACGATTCCTCAAATCCTTTAACCGTCGAGGCTGACAAAGATCTGCGCCGCGCACTCACGGATCTGTGTCCTATACGTGGCCTAGAAACCAGGCCATGGAAGGAGGCTCGAATCTGCTGGTATTCCGACACACGAGATGGCGAGTGGCTCATTGACTACCACCCGGGCTGGAAGGGACTCTTCGTTGCAACAGGCGACAGCGGACACGGATTCAAGTTCCTACCCAACTTGGGTGAGAAGATCGTGGATGTTATGCAAGGCCAGGGTGGCAAGCTTGGCGAGAAGTGGCGATGGAGAGAGATCCAGAACGATGGAGTCGGGAGAGAGACGAACGGGGTTTATACTGGTTTGGTGACGGAAGATGGTAGCAGAGGTGGACGGCCCTTGGTGCTCTGTGATGAGCTCGAGAAGGGCAGGGCGCTTATTGGAGACACCAAGGCCAAGCTATGATAGAACATCAGAAGGCCTTTGGGGCGCAAGCCGCATATGGATTGGATTTAGATGAAGCGTTCGTTTGTAGCATTTCAAGAAATCATGTTTTGTTTGTCAAGATTGGAATGTTTGAGAAAGTGAAGAAGCGACATGCATGGTCTGACTTGAAAGGAGGATAAATAAGCTTACAACCGTAACACCACTTACAACACGTTGGGTATGATATGGACAGCGGGCTAATAAATATCCGACGGGCCATGTTTCAGCAGCGCCGGTTTTAACATGACTTCACATGCCAGGGATGATATTTTATATGGAACAGGGAGAGACAGATATGAGTTTTATTCTGTAAGGGGGTATAATGAAGGGTTGAGCTAAGGAATGATGATATCTGGTTCTTTGGTTCCACGACTCCATACCTGGTTACCAGACGAACGTAGGAGAGTAGCTTGTTGATCACCTCTATGGCCATAGAACTGCTCTTGATGGAGGTGCGTTGCCTCTTATCTCATGTTCCGTATGGGTTTTATATATCAAGTTTGTCTCATGTCACGTCCTTTTTGGTCATTGTGCAGTGCTGCTATGGCAGTGTTTAAGTCGTCTCCGTTTTTATGTCCTTCTGTTCTTGACTGTTTCCTGTGCCACCTTTGCGGTGGCATTGACGATCAACTCGTGTTCATGAGAGTGAACCTTCTCCTTATACTGTTCTAGGTCCTCTCCCTTCCACTCAATTTCCTTGACCAGGATAGGAGTACCCCTGTCTACTTCAGCGATCACGTAGTGGGCCATGATGCCTGAGCGTGTTAGTCGACCAGCCTTGAACTCATCATAAGCTCGCTCGATCGCATTGGCTCCGTCAAACTCTCCTGGTAGAGCACTGTGTGGTTTTGTTAATGATTTGGCAATCTACAAAGACGTAACACGTTATACTCACGGGTGCAAGTTGATGACATTCAGGCCAGCTCTCTGGATAGGGTCCAAGAACGCAGTTGAGAAGACATGCATCCAACCAGCGAGTACAATAAGCTCAGGCTTCTCGTCGGCTGAGAGAATCTTTTCAGCCAGCGCAGCGTCATATTTCCGACGGCCTTCAATCACCTTCTGCTCGTCGGATTCTCCCTTTCCCAAGAATCCGTGAGAGATCAAGTTAAAGTATTGCCAAGGAATGCCTTGTCGCGAGTCAGTATATACACATGAAAGTCGTATGGACTAGCACGACGTATAGGATTTTGTGAGAGGGCCCGTACCAGCTTTCTCGGCTCGGACAGTTGCGTGTGCGTTCCGTCGGTTCACAATGAGAGAAATGATACGACTATTTGGGAGTGAACCAGTAGATATCGCATCAATGAGAGCCTGGAAGTTAGAGCCAAAACCAGAGGCCATGACGAGAATTCGGCATGGTGATTGGTCCGCGTTTGACATCTTGAAGTGTAGATACTGAAGTGAACTGAAAATTGTAGTATGCTTCAGTCACCCTCCGAATAATCATTTCTCCAGCTTCAGTTCAAAACTTTCACCCCTCCAAAGGGTATCACGTGATGCCGATAGCGGCAGAGCACACGTTGTCGAGAAAATGGCCCAGGACACGCTTAAACAATATATAATAAACTGGTTAGCCTATTTGGATAATTCCCAGTTATTATACTGCAGCGTCCCACTTGGTTCTGCTTTAGGGTGCAGAGTTGTAACCTGATGGGTTATATTGATAGTCTTCTGATACTTTTCCCAGTAGAACCCGTAACCTTTAGCTTATAGACACCTTTCTGATTCGAGAGCCACTTTCACGAGACTTGTCACTAATAGAAAACTAATTCATCGAGCCGCATGCTTCCTTCTCGATCACATATGTTTCAGCCCGAAACTGCTATTAACTGCAACTCACTCGATCTTGAGCCATACGTAGGGTAGGTAGTTGACCACGAAATACCGAATTGCGTTATGCCCCATTAAACCTAGCGCACGGTAAGCGATAAGGCTTACAGTGATGAGGCCCACTAGCTGGAACTCGGGAACGCGCTGAGACTGTTGCGACAGCTAAGTTAACTCCAGTCAACTGTGTCCGTGTTCAGTCTTTCTTTCAACGGTCCCTATCTCGATGGAAACTGGGCATACTTCGCATACGACAACAGAGATGCACTGAATCAACAAGCTGCAGACCGAAACCGAAAATGTCATCCGGAAAGGGCGTATCCGAATTCCCAAGCTTGGAAGCCAAGCTGCAAAAACCGACCAAGCAGTCCGCCTTCGAGAAACAAAAAGCAGAAGCCGAAGCCAAGCGACTACGAGAAGAAGCAGAAACCGCTGCGGTATATAATGAATTCGTCAAAAGTTTCGACCGTGATGATGACTACGATGGACACAACGCACCCAGCTCTTCAGCACCTCCACGCCCGCGACATGGATTTGGAGGCCCGCCACCACCCTCAGGACCAGGGAGACGGCATTTTGGAACATCGGGACTCAAGAGCGGACCAGGAAGCTTGGGGCCTCCGCCATCCTCCTTCGTGAAAAAGCGATCTTTCCAGGACTTTGCGCGGCCGTCGCGGGATAAAGGAGTTCTGGGCTACGATGAGGGAGCTAGTGGAGGAGGGCCGATCCCAGCAGCGAGAGCTTTCAATACAAGCGATGATGAGGATATGGACGGCGTGACGGATAGGGCAGAAGAGAAGGCTATAGCGAAACCCACACTGCGACTGTCGAATATTCCTCCAGGAACTTCCCCAGCCACGATCAAGGCCCTGATCCCAGACAATCTGACGGTCGAGAATGTCAAAATCACACCTTCGAGCAGCTCTGGGAACTCGGAAAGAAAACATGCCGTTTCGATTGTCACGTTGTCACAGGAAACACCTGCGAACGAGATCGACGCGGCCGTCACTGCGCTACAGAACCGATATTTAGGTTATGGATATTACCTGTCTCTCCATCGCCATCTTTCATCGGCTGTTGCGAGTTCGGCTGCATTGCCACAGATTGGCTCTTCAGCGACATCACATCCCTTTGGTGCGAAACCTGTTGAGCAGCCGTCAGGACCACAAAACCCGCACACGCAGCATGGATTCAATGGCAGATTTGCGCCCCCAACCTCTTATGGGCCTCCTGGCGCAGGCATTAATCGGTCGGCCCTATTACATGTGCCGGTCAAACCGCCCACTGATGTAAAGCTTATCCAACTAATTAGCAAGGTTATCGAGGGAGTTCTTGCCCATGGCCCAGAATTTGAGGCGCTGCTCATGTCACGACCCGAGGTGCAAAGGGAAGAAAAATGGGCGTGGATATGGGATGCAAGAAGTCAAGGCGGCATATGGTACCGATGGAGACTATGGGAGGTCATTACGGGCTCACAGCAATCACGACAAAAGGGGAAATATGTCCCCCTATTCGATGGTTCGCATGCATGGAGGGCCCCAGAGAAGAACCTCAAGTTTGAGTACACGACTAAGTTGGACGAATTCGTGTCGGATTCAGAGTACAACTCATCGGATGAGGAGGATTTTGAGGATGACAATAAAAGGGACAACCCAGATGCGGAATCCGAAAAGGCGTTCCTCAACCCGCTGGAGAAAGCCAAGCTAACACATCTCCTTGCACGACTACCGACGTCGATGTCGAGGTTAAGGAAGGGCGATGTCGCGAGAGTGACAAGCTTCGCAATTACCCATGCTAGTCGAGGAGTTGACGAGGTCGTGGCGATGATCACATTCAACGTTGAGAAGCCATTTGCTCTTACTGGTGCAAACCCAGACAAGAAGTCCGAGGCTAAAGAATTCCAAACAAGCGCCCCCGAAGAGGTGCCAAGTAACGAAGGCCCCGATATCAGTGGTGCTAGTCTGGTGGGATTATATGTCGTCAGTGACATACTGTCGTCTTCATCGACAAGCGGCGTGCGGCACGCTTGGCGTTTTCGGCAGCTATTCGAGACATCACTGAAAGACCGCAAGACGTTCGAGACACTGGGCCTCATGGCGGAGCGACTCAAGTGGGGGCGTCTACGTGCAGAGAAGTGGAAGCGCAGCATTCACCTTGTTCTGAATCTCTGGGAGGGATGGTGCGTCTTCCCTGTCGAGAGCCAGGAACTATTTGTTAAAAGTTTTGAGAACCCGCCGTCGCTGGTTGCCGTTGAAAGGGAGGATAGCGAAGAGAAGAAGGGCAAATGGAAGATGGTGGAGGATGGACAATTACGTGCACTGCCGGTTTCGACTGTCGAGGAGGAGGAGGAGGATGATCATGATGTTCAAGGCGAGGCGATTGATGACGATGATGTTATTGGAGAGCCGATCGACGAGGACGATATTGAGGGAGAACCCATCGACGAGGATGACATCGAGGGAGAGCCTATCGATGAGGACGACGTGGCTGGAGAACCAATGGATGAAGATGAGGCTGTAGGGGATGAGTTGCCACCAGCGCCTACAGATCAACCTACAACCGGCACTGAGAACAAGACCAAAGAAGGACCGCCGGAGGCCGGACAGCCTCGAAGACGGATGCGAGCAGTGGATATGTTTGCAGATTCAGACGACTCGGACAAGGGCGGGTAGAGATAGGCGAAGTTCAATGATACCAATTTGTAATGGATTAGACGTACCGTTCCGTCTGCGAGATGGCGCCATCTAACGGCGTGAGACCAAGGCGGGCCAAAGAGTAAGATGTGATTTCTAGCTTGTGTGCGACCGCTGGACATATGAAGATCAGTTGAGTTGGATGGAATATCAAGGCCGGAACGCTAAGGATGTGCAGAGCATGACATGAGACCAGACACTAGACGAGGATCCCACGGGAGATGAGCCTAGAACAGAGGCACAATGTAACATAGATGTGGAAAGCACATGCTGATAATTGCAGCATTGTCGTTGGCAGATGAGTTTGTGATGAGCTATGCGTCTATGCTATGCTACCAAGGATGGACTGTGCATCTGACTCCTGTCGACTTTGTCACGGTCCAAGCCAAGTTACGTCACAAATATTGATATGGCGGAAAGCAATTTATACGCATGAGGTAAAAACAGTCGACAAGAGAAAGCTGAGCGCTTGAGCTTCATGGTGGTGTTGGTGTTGAAGGTGGCCGGGGCCTTTGAGCCAATGGAAACTTGCTCACTCGGCCGGGTTGGCTGATGGATACGGACACAAGATAGTGGAGAGGGAAGAGAACAGTGACATGAGTGATTGAAATGCGGTAAAGTCGGAGTTTTCACTGTTAGTGGGAGGGAATGGACCTTGTATTTATATCTAAACACGTTTCCTTTTGATTAGAGTCGTCAAATTGCCAAATATGCTCTTTCGGACGTTGCACGGAAGAGAACCGCCGGGTCTCCGGCTATACAGTGCTCCGCGTCGGCGGCGGCTGAATTGGAGGAACGGGTCTGAGCCGGGGAGGGGGGAGGGGACATGTTGGGCTTGGCTTGTAGGGAATAATCATTGTATCAACAACGTCAAGGAGAACTTTAGATCCTGGTGATACACTCTACTGCGTTCGTTCTCATGCTCAGATGTCCTCGGAACAATTTTTATCTTATCGCGGAACCATCTTCAACATGGCATGACTTTCAACATCTGCTATTCCGAGCCGATCTTAGCTGAGCGGGCACCGAAACACCGGAATCGATGCGCGCCAGAGCCGAGAGCCAAGTCTGTCGTTAACTAGTGTGAGAGTGATCTTGCGAACCAAGTGCCTTGCTGGGATTAGACACCCTTTGGGCTCTTTAGGGCGTTTCTTGCCCGCTGCAGCCCCCGCATGGTGGGGGGCGCGACGAACATTTGCAGGCAGGTCGTCCGCCGGCGGGACAAGGGAAGGGGAAAGGTTGGGGTCCCTGAATAATGAACCATCTCTCGTCTTGGGTCTAGATCAAGATCCTCCGTTTTGCTTTGTTACATCTGCTTCTTACACGACAACAACGACAACAACAATATATGCTATTTTACACTAATCTCGCATTCTATAGCACTCACTTGCACCGGCCATATACCACCGGCCATTCTCATCGAGTCCTGCCTGGTACGACACTTTCATATAGTACACAGCCGCCGCGAACTTTGGAAACCCGTCTTCTGTATCCCGTCGTTTGCGACGCAAATTCCGAGTCCTCGAGTGTCGCCGAGTAATTCACGCCGCGTCTTCCACACACTCTCCCTCTCATGTCGACTCTTGCGAGACTTGCGCATTTGTAGGCAATTGTTACGGCTGTGAGCCGGCCACCATCTCTACCACCATCCGTTTTGCTCCACCTCTGTCATCCGTCGTACATACGTTTCCGACGACAGTCTCACCATGCCTCTCATTAATGGAATTAAAATGGCCTGGTACGATCAATCCTGGCGCATTCAACTGCCGTCGGTCTGTTGGTTAGACTTTGCTAACTCTGGACTTGTAGCGAGCCTTGTATTCGTGGTCATCGCTCTACTAAATGTACACACGCAAACGAGCGACTAATGGTACCTGTTAGGAAACCAGGTAGACCTCTTAGTACATGCCCTCATCCGGCTTCTCGTCCATGTTCTTGCGGCAGAGTCACGGCCGCCATACCAAAGAAACAAGCATGCCACTGTGGTCCCGGCAAAGATACCGAATCACCAAAGCCTGACAATGGTGATAGCACAAGCAGCTCCACGCCTCAGAGCCCTGTTAGCAAAACACCAGGTTCTGGATATCGAGTACAGAAAACGAGCTCCAAAGGCGGAAGTTCTAGCAGAAGAGAATCTGTTGACCCATCAGCCTTCCAACGAATGGATCCCAAAATGCTCAATATTTTGCCGTCATTCGAGGACATATCCCAGAAGCCGGTCGCGTCTCTTCCTGACATGTCCTCCTATGGGAGTGTGGGTATGACACCAGCAGACAGCCCTTTTGGACCCGTCATGTATCCAATGTTCCAACCACATATACCCCCTATGATGAGTCCGGGCTCATCAAAGGAGACCATGGCCGGCCAGTCTGGTTCAATAACCAGCACACAAGTTCTAGAACAACAAATCCAACCTACACCAAAAGCCGGCTCTTGCTGCGGAGGAGGCAATTCTAATAACATTGCTTCCGTTCCAATTACAATGCCCTCGGTACCGAGTCCACCGAAAGCCAAAGCAAAGAGTTGTTGCTCTTCCAGCAACGACTCCCCCAAAGTCGACCAGAAGAACGATAATGTACCGGCCAACGACATACCGACACCCAACAGCATGATGATGTCGCCTTTTCCGACCCCCATCATGATGCCCAACGGCATGTACGCCTACTACCCTCAGCCCACTGTATTCACATACCCACCTCAATATGGTTCATACTTGCAGCCTCTTCAGCCGGAGCAATGGAGACAAGTAATGGCCGCGATGACTTTTGCTGGTCAAGGCGGCATGCCTTCACCCTTCGGAATGCATGGCGCAACACCGTTCCCGGCCCCGACTGCCCCTCAAACTCCCCATTCGGCGACGGGCACTTCTCACCAGTGTAGCTGTGGTGCCTCGTGCGAGTGTGTAGGGTGCGCAGCCCATCCGTACAACGAAGCGACGCAGAACTATGTTCGATCGGCCTGGCAGAGCATGATGGATACCGGTTACACCCATGTGAACGGACATGGAAATGGTGAAACACCCGCAACAAATGGCCACAGCGTCACCACAAGCACGGCTTCTGTACCTCCTATCGGCTCTACTGACGGGACTGTATCGCCAGTCGCTCCACAAACCCCCTCTGAAGCGGCGTCAGGCATTAGCGAAGAGCAAGCTCTGTCGGCGAACGATTTCTTCTTTGTTAGTTACCCATTCGGAGACTCTTGTGCCGGCGAGGAGGCAAGCTGTCCGTGCGGAGATGATTGTCAGTGTTTAGGCTGTGTAATTCATGGCAACTCCGAGTCGGCGGTTGAAGCAGAAGGCCAGGTCTAGAAAACGCTTCTTCGATCAACATTTCAAATTCGCCGATTAGAGAACGCACGGATGGAAGCATTCATCGCGCAAGGGGGAAGAGGAGGACTGCGATTTGCTAGTTTGCGGCGACTATACCCATTGAAGTTTTGGAATGGCGAAGAAAGCTACTAGGAGATTGAGAAGAATAGAGAAGCTTTGACGTAGCATGCATAAAAATACGATAGACTCCCCTTCACGCTGTGATATATGCTTCTGAGTTCACATTATTAGTCTCATCGTCCTGCAAAGGCATTGATTGACTGTGTTTCAGGTTCTGTAAACTACTACCTAGGCAGGTAGTTAACCAAAAAGCGACATTGAAGAAAAGCGGAGCGCACTGTGCTCATCCCTTGACCTCAAAATCTCATCTTAAAACACTTTGAACCAGATTCATCTCATCGATGTTCTAATCTTATCATCGCAACTTTTGATCGCTTACTTATTGGACTTGCAATACTCAGACATAGTCTCAAAGCGTCAAAATGGACCGCAGTAATTGGGCTAGAGAGAGGTCGCCGCACCCTGACTACAATTATAGGAGAAGCCAGGATCGCGACACTTCATATAAAAACACGCGCTCACGACCACGCTCACGATCACGATCACCTGATAACACACGATCTAAAACATCGTCTTATCGACACGAGAGACATCGCTCTGAGCCCAGTGGTCGTCTCTCGTCTCCCAAACATCATCATCGCCATCATTCATCACATAAGTCCCGGGATAATGCAAGTCGCAAGCCTGAAGCTGTGGTTAACCTACCCTTCAAGGCGCGGCCCTTGTCAAAAGCTGATCTGCCTTCTTTCAAGCCACTATTTGGTGAATATCTAATTCTTCAGAAGCAGAAAAATATCGCGGAGATGGACGATCATGAAGTCAGAGGACGATGGAAGAGCTTCATTGGGAAGTGGAACCGGAAAGAGTTGGCAGAAGGATGGTACGACCCTGAAACCTTTTCACGAATTACATCGAATAATCCAGTTGCGCCTCAAGCAAGGCGTGCTTCTGTGCAACGGGATAAAGTGCGAGAGCTTATGAACGATAGAGAGGATCGTGAGAGCGAGGAAGATGAAGATGAAGATGATTATGGTCCTCCACTTCCTGGTTCGGATATCGCACGGCGGCCTGGACCAGGCATTCCCACACTCGAGGATCTATCTTTACGAGCTGAGCTTGCCGAGGAAGACAAGCAAGCGTCTATCGCTGACCTACGTGAAGCGCGCAAAGCTGATCGGGCTCTACAGAAGGAGCGTCTCGAAGATTTGGTCCCTCGTGCTGAGGCCGGGACTCGCGAGCGCATGTTGGAAAAGCGAGCAGCAGTGGCGGACAAGATGCGCTCGTTCCGCGACAAGAGCCCTGATGCTATGGAAGTCAAAGACGAGAGAGAGCTCATGGGCGGCGGAGACTCGTTGGATGAGTATAAGAAAGCCAAGGAAAGGGAGCAACGCCGCAAGACAGAGAGAGAGATTCGCAGAGAGGAGATCGAAAGGGCCAAAAGGGAAGAGGTGGAAGAGAAGAAGAGAGCATGGAGGGAAAGGGAAGAAGGGACTGTGAGCATGTTGAGGGAATTGGCACGGCAGCGATTCGGATAGAGGACATGATCACCTATATTCACCCCTCTTCCACTGAAGCCTCGAAGCTGGGTATGATATGATGGTGGACGAACAACTTGGCTATTCTTATTTGGTGGATTTATATGGTAGGTTTATTGACACCTGGATATTTTGGCGCACTGTGGGAGCGCACCAATTGGAAGTTTGGCCCACTCGAATCAAAACTCTTCTTCACGACTTTCAACAACCAGAAGAAGCAAAACTTGGACTCTGAGGTGAGGCTCAGAGCTCAGTATAGACTTATCAGCGAAACCAGACGCGAGAGCGAGCTACGAGAATAGTTCCTACCTAGGCCACGGAGGATTTCAGCTGCAGCGATAAAATTACACAAAAGTCCTCCGACGGAATCTTACTCCCACATCCATTTCAGACTGACTATTGCTCACTCTTCACTCGACACAATGTCTGGCGAGGTAGACTATGGATTTGGCGACCTCATGGATGACCCAGAGGACTACTGCCCACCTACGCCGCCTCCTACATCCCAGGTCTTCACTATGCAGAGCGGCAAGCCCATAACACTTCACCTTGTGGGCGCCAGCCCTACCGAAGCCCACCATCTCTGGAACGGTGCCAAGATGATCTCCGACTTCTTCGAGGAGGACCCTTCTCGGGTACGTGAGAAGACGGTTCTGGAGCTTGGTGCCGCAGCTGGTCTGCCCAGTCTTGTCGCTGCTATTCTTGGTGCGCGCAAGGTCGTGGTGACAGATTACCCAGACCCAGATATCGTCAGAATCATGCAGAAGAACATCGATGAATGTGACGAAACGGTAGAGCCTCGTGGCCGAATCGCCAACACTGTCGACGCTGTGGGCTTTGTCTGGGGCGCTGACCCTATTCCACTGCTTACTCGCCTAAATCCAACTGATGACTCTCACGAGGAGCGCTTCGATGTTCTCATCCTGGCAGATCTTCTATTTCGACACAGCGAGCACGGAAACATGGTCAAGACCATCAAGGAGACCCTCAAGGTGTCCCGTGAGAGCGTGGCCTATGTGTTCTTCACGTCATACCGACCGTGGAAGAAGGAGCTTGATGAGGGATTCTTTGACATTGCGCGCGACGAGGGCTTCGAGGTGGAACAAATTGCTCAGCGAAGACTCGACAAGCCACTGTTTGAGAACGACCCTGGCGACTTGGATGTGCAGAAAACCGTCAAGGGATATGCTGTGAGATGGTCTGCCGAGAAGTGCAGTTGATCATTACAAGGGCAAAGGATAGATAGACGAAACTGATTGGCAATTAATTGGTTAATGAATGACGATTATGACACCAAGCAAAGGTTGATGCTGTGAATTCTCTGACATATGCACTTGCACTGACACAGGCACAGGCACATGTCTAAGAGTAAAGAATATCTGACTACAGAGACTCTTACTACTCACGATACTGTGCTCCAATTGCTACGTTACGTGACCTTGTGAGGCTCCATTGTAGTAGATGCAACGAGCCGTCAGTAGGTGAGTACGTTCCCCACATCGATTCTTAAAAAGGCTCATCATAGCACAAGAAGAAGCACTTTTGGGACCTGCAAAAGGAACTGAAACTCTTTCTGTAAATATCCGCGCCGAGTCTCGCTTCGTTTCAACCTCTTCAACCATCCTTGCCTGCGTTACAGAGCCTCTTGGCCGATGACCTGTCAGCTGCTTTGTATCTCCAAGTACCGCCTGGTTTATACATAGCTCGAGAGGGGTACTCAGTCAGTCTACTACTGTAACGGGATTTTTGTCTTATTTTACCGGCGGTCCACAAGCCGCAGAATACCAGGCCTTTTCCGCGCCGCGCCGCAAGCTGCAATTCGTTCAACGGCCCAAAGCCCGCATTTTCATATCACATCATGTCCACCTCACAGTATCTCCAATATCTCAACAGGGATGGCTTTGTGGTCATCAAGTCAATCGTGAGCAGGGATAAGCTCGATGCTCTTCGTGAGGTCAGCTCAAAGGCCACTCAGCTTGCTCGTGAAGGGCATTGGCCTTACGGTACAGCCCCTTAACTATTGCTCTAAATAAATATTCTCCTAATGTTTTCGCAGTACGGACTGTAGGAAAACAATTCCCACCATGGGATGCCAGTCAGGCACGTGAGCACGGAATATGGGGTGTCCAACATCTCATGAACCCTGATCTCCCTGGTCATGAGCTATTCGCAGAGCTGTACTTCTCTGAAGCCATTCTCGGCATTGTGAAGCAGCTTCTGCAATGCCAAGACGACCATCTCGTGATGGAGCTGTTCAACATGCTTGTCAGACCAGAAAGGGATTTTGAGTTGAGGTGGCATCGCGATGACATCCCCGCTGAGGCTAGCGAGGACGAGGAGATGGAGCGTCTTGGCAAGCATGCCTACCATGCTCAGTATAACTTCGCTTTATGGGATGATGATTCTCTCATCGTCGTGCCTGGCTCGCACAAGCGCGCTAGGACCTCGACTGAGCGAAACGCAGATCCCTTTTCCAAGTCCTTGCCAGACCAGCTTATCGTCAAGCTGCAGCCCGGCGATATTGTCTTTTATAACAACAATATTCTGCACCGCGGGGCTTACAGCAGCAGCAAGGAGCGAATGACACTACACGGCTCTGTTGGCCATGTGCAGGGCAGCACTCTTCGAGCGAGGAACGTTCTACAGCATGGAATTGGTAACTGGGTTGACAAATGTGCTTTCGAGTCGCTCCCGGAGGAAGATAGGCGCAGGGCCGACGGTATGAGACAGCGCCTAATCCAGCTTGGCAGTGAGAGTGGTCAGGTTGGTTACTCACTCCAAGGCTGACCATAAGAGTCTAAGAGAAGCGAGGCCGGCACCAACGCTTTTTGATGTTGTTGCTTGGATATATCAATGCACAAGAAGTAAGGTATATCCCGTGACAAATTGCAGAAACCAAAAGCAGCCGGGTGACATTGAACATGCATGACCTGACGAATACAATTCTCCATCTGATGCTGAAAGTCTACTGACCAAGGGACGGAAGAAAGGAAAAACTCAATGTCTTGATGGTCGGAAAAGTTTCATATAGTTTCGTATGAACTGAGGAGACCCTTCAGCTTGTGTCGGCACCAGCAGGCACGAGCTTGAACAGCGTCCTGATAAGACACACTTCAAACCATTTCCAGTGTTATTACTATCAACAAATCTTTGATGGATTCTTACCTCCTTTTCAGTGTTACCGGTGTTGCACTTCGACACTGCGATACGACAGCAAAGGAAGCACATCCGAGTAACTCTGCCCTGACACGACCGAGGTTATCACGATATTATCCGGAACAAAGACCGACTTCCCGATGAAATCTAAGTTGCGGCACCCAATACAGATGCGGTTTTCCTAGGTTGTTTCTCAACCCCGCATTTGCACCCGGATCGAAGTGGCTGCCACCTCGTGCAAATCGTTTGGGGACCCCGGGTTTTGAAAGCTCGGCCAGATCAAGAAACTCAAAGTGTTGGGCCGACTCGAGTTGATGAGTGGTCCCGAAATGATGTGACTATCATTGTCTTCGGCGAGTCAGGTACGCATATGTTTAAATAGGCTTGAATCTATTCAATAAGTGCCAAGTTAGTATACTGCACCGTAGCCTTATAATCAAACCTTCTTTTCCCGGACTCGGTAACATCCCGGCGGAATGAAAATGATGGGCTCGGCTCATACGCGGTGTGTAACGAAGTCAACCCCACGGGGAAATTGTCTAAGGCGGGGGTAAAAGCTAGCCAACAAAGGGCAATTCGAATGCCAGCATCAATCATCTACTCTAGCGGTCTGCACCTGCAGGGGGGCTGAGGGCAGACTGACTGACTGAATGCTTGCATGATTGGGGGCAGACAATATTCATGGGGCACAGGGTGCCCAGGTTATATGGTAGAGTGAGGCCGGTATCTCCACGAGCTCGAGTTCCGACGATGCAAAGAGGCTCAGTTGCCCATTCTGGCCCGGTGAACGACTGACTCCAGTTGAGCTTGATGAGTACTGTAGATGAGTATGGTCATGTCCTCTGAGCCCGGGCCTGGGTGCAAGATCCAAAGTCTAGACTACCCCACACGCACCGACCATCAATCCCCGCACCTCCACAGATCCCAGCACTCGCTTGTCTGATCTCAAAACCTCCACTACCTATCTATTAGTTACTATTAGCAAATACCAAAACCACCTACCGAACCTATACTGTGTATCCGAACTTGGCAAATGTCCCCGGGAGAATTTCTCAAAGGGACGATTTAAGCGCATCCGAGGAGAAGCGAAATCGGTTCCGCTCTCGAACTCGGCGATTCTATTGTCTCTAGCCATGCGAGACAGGAGCTATTCCAGCCTGTGCTGGCTGACAGACAACGCGAGGCTGGTTGACGTTGAACAGCCAATGGGGATACGGCATCATATTCCTGTCTCAACAAAGTGCGAGAGAAGACACTCAACAGGTTGGTTTTAGCAAGGACCCTGGACCTTGACTGTAGGCTGATCGCCAACTTCTTGGGGGTGTTGTAGACAGCATCGTTGCAGCCACGTAAAGGCAGGTCTAGGACGGAAGCGGAGCCGACGGAGGAGGAGAGTTTGGGAAGAGTTTGGAATTTCCTTCTCGCTTGCGATGCAGTTGGATTGTGTTAGTCATTGCGCAATAGGGCGGACAACTTCCTTGGATTCCGGATCTCCAAGCGTGTTGCTTGTAGATCTGCAAAAACCCGCACATCAAGACCGGATCTCTGGCGGTAGGTTCTGTTACTGCTGGAAATTCCGGTTCCATATTTTTACTGCCAGAGGCTTTGGCTGGCTCTTAGTGAAACAGCAGGATTTTATTGATGGTATCAAGAATTCGATCGGCCTGGTAAAACAGTGTGCTTAGAGAGGGCTGATCTGGTGTTGCTCAAGCTCCTTTGCTCCGCATCAGCCCTGTCTCCGCTTCCCACCCTGAACTGAGAAGTGATTTTCTTTCCGTAACGTTTTCTCGTAGCGCCTTTGATCTCCAAAGTAACGGCGCGAAATGCGGCAGTGAAGATGAGAGGAGGAGTGGCTTTGATTGGATAAGCTACGTTGAAATGCACATGGGCGAGTTGAAAAGGTTGTCGATGGCAGTGGAAAGTAATTTTACGAGGTAGGTAGGTACCTCTTCAAGCTGAAGATGAAGGTTCCTATCACGTGTAAACGAATGACTTCAGATAAGGAAGGCGGCTTGAAAAAATCACACCAAGGCAGGTGTATTACATTCTAGTTGTGTAAGGAAGGGATTAGGTAGGTAGGTAGGTAGCTTAGATCATGAAGCCTCCAGGGCTACCTATCAAACATTAGCACATCCGTGTAGAATCTAATATTGGCCGAATCAACTCCGATATCGAGTTATCTCACTGGAAATTCCTAGGATTGTGTCAAACTAAGCTAGACTCGGGACATGTCTGTTGAGGATTAACCTCCCCAGACAGTTGACGGACCGACTGAGTTGTATGCACTCAAATCAGCAGTCAGACTCTTTCAGTGCCAAAAGGGACGGTCAACATTGTGTAAGTCGGAGGCGGGAAACGCGATTTTCCGCCGAATTTCGACCTTGAAATTTACTGGACATACAGCGTCGTCATGGTATGTGTATCCGCCTGGGCCCCAAACTGACACGGATCTCAACCACCAAGGATAGACCTGCCGTAACTAGATAGCCTGTCTTTAGGGCTCTTACGATTGGCCCGGAAGGGAACTAGAAAACCCTGGTTGCAGGGGTCAGGATGGACAGGCAAGGTCCTTAGGTTGCCCCAAACCCCCCATGGGGCGAGTGCTCACCCCGCATATACCGGGCGGTACTTGGAGGGTACGTTCGGGTGGGAGCCGTGAAGAGCTGGAGGTCTGGAGATGGAAAATATTCAGGGTAGTCAGTGACTGACTTGAAGGCTGTTGAACCTCTTCCTTTTTTTTTTCTTTCTTTCTTTTTCTTTTTTTTTTTTTTTTTACATACATATCAATGTCTATTGTATTGAGTAGCCTCTTACCCCGTACTTACGGTTGCACTGGAGACGGTGCCGCCATGATGGCTGAGATGAATCATCATCACACGTTTGCAACCAGTCGAATCCTCCAGACTTCTGTCCCGTTTTAACATGTGCCTGGGCTGTCGATAACCGCACCGCCCTTGCTCGCTTGTGGCTGACAATGATAAATCACCTTCAAGACTTCACTTCCACGCCTCACAGCTCTGACACATGCCCAGGATGGCTTAGCAACGCTGAGTGGGTGAGAGTTGACTTGGCTGCCCAAGCTGAATTGGCACAGACGAGACAATAGTGAGACTGTTCAGATGGTGAGGACGCGGTTCACCAAGCCCTGCGTACGCCTCAACACGCCGTAGCCTTGGCTACCCACTGAGGTTATTTGAACAAAGACCTGACAGCCTGACAGACTTGAGCTTGGCCCAACCGTTTCTCCCTGAGGTTGCCAATCATCAGGCTGGTATGGCGTCAGTCAGGAGAAGACGGCAAGACACTCCGTTTATTCCATGTGTGCGCGCCTATGAACGCAGGGGATTCACCTGAATCACCCATCTATGTCTGCCGCCTCTGTCCTTTCGCCATTGCGGAGTAACTGGACGGTACCATTATGATCACCTTTTGAAAGTGCTTTTTATGCCCTCGCGGCTGATTTTCCTTTCTTTTTCCTATGCTCTTTCTTTCTCTGCCGCTTTGTGGCTTGCATCTGGGCAGATTCAGTGGCTCCTTAGAGATCCATTCCCACAGACTGATGCTGTCCACTCACACTCCCCACACTGATTCGAGTTGGGAGTAGGGAATAGTGTCGGCTGTCAGTCTGTTGAAGTGTTGCATTCATTTTACGTACAAGGCAGCTTATGTAGTATCTATCCCCTCGTTGAGTATGGAGGAGGCACGATATACAAGTATCAATTTCGGTCTAACATCGCCCGACTCTCAAATCCAGACTCCTGATTCTTACAGTCAGGCTTGGCGCGATCAGGAACGCTAGGTATGCTAAACCAAGGTAGACAGCTCCGCCGCACCCAGGGATGTCTTGACAAAGTCCTACGAGTCTCTCTTAGTAGCTTATCACCTCCAATTTCCCCGCCCTGGCCCTTGCGCCCGCGCTACGCCGTCATACCCTGTCCGACCTGAAGGCCGCAGCAGCAGCCCGAGGATTTTCCTACACCTATCCTCAGGCGTTATCCGAACCGATACAGCACCTAGGACAGTCTTAGGTGTTACAGTTACGCACAATCCGTACTGCAACTCTCACTTGCGGATACGTACCTTGCCACACCATTCCTGTTGGGTTGTCTCCTCTCTCCCCTCTTTACCCTGTTTCGCCACGTCTTGTCGCTCTTTTCTGCTTTCACGCCCCCTGTTGTCTTGCTCTGGGCGCATCTACGTGGCACCGAATGCTGAAGCTGTCCTACAGCAGGCACAAAACCCAGGCGCTACACCTTACTCGGTGTACTCCGCCCACCGCCGAGTTGAGTCGTCCACCAGGGACATGACTGCACGGCAAGCTCTTGGTTGACTTGGGTCGAGGTCCTTTGTGTATGTCCTCGAGCATTTGGGTTGTTACCAACCCCCAAACAACAGGAGAATGCGGTTGATGGTGGGAAACGTCGCTCCAACACGGTACAGGAGGCACTGAAGGCCATGCGAATGCACTATCTCGTCATGAACCCGCATTTACTCCATCTTGGCTGATCCCGGTGCCAGTGCCAGTTCCTCGGGTGTCTCGCCGATGCGATGACTTACACCGTAAACTTGACACACACACACACCAGCCATTCTGGGTTCTCCATCTTCTCCATGTCCGGGGCAAACCCCTCCTCGCTTGATGAGCGGTACGTCTCCGTGGTTTTGACGTTTTGCCTAGTTAGACACTTGTTGTTCCCGTTTTCTCCTCTTTCACATTCACATTATCCGCCGTTCACGCTTACATGGGCAGGTTCCCCGATTGAAAAATTATACATCAATTGACCTGGGCGTTAAAGAACGCTTTCAACGCTTGAACAACACTTGCAGGATTTGAAACTGATAGACATATGCAATATCCATATCCAAGTCTCGGAGCAGTCTTCCGAGAACACCGCTCAGCATTGCTGCTCACCTTCATACTGCAACCACCACAAGAACGACAAACTTGATAAGATCTGGAAGGACGGTAAATGTGCAACAAGCACAGCACAGCCTAGCACACCAAAATCACAATACATACATACATATCTCGAAGTGTACTCCGTACATACGCACTCTCAACACCAACAACCCCCAGTACCGACCTTGCCTTGGTTATCGGCTCGAGTGGGGGAAGCAGCCGAGATATTGTGCAGTATTGTACAGTACTGACTGAATGTAGTGCACGAGAGGGGAAGCGCTAAAGAGAAAGGGGTGTTTTCGTCTTTTTGAGGCTTGACCTTGAGCTTCCTTGACCTTGTCCGTCCACTCCATCTCATCCCATCCAGCTCCTTGGATTTCATTCACTCTCCTTGGCTTAGGCTTGGCCTTGCTTGGGCGTCGCTGTACTGTACCCCCAGGCCTGTCCACTCCTACTGGACTTCGTTTCTCCTCCCCCCGTTCTTCCCGCCCACCCCATCCCCCCATCTTCTCATCCACCCCGTCTCTCCCGCGGAAGGCAAACCAAAAAGCAACCCTCCTTCTACAGTAGCAGTCCACGGGCCACCGTCTATTTTCTCCTCCTCCACATGCCATGCTCTACCCTTAACGCACCCCGCAATCTGCCTGCATCTATCTTTCCCCAGCTCCAAATCCAGGTCCAAATCCTAATCTTTCTCTCAATCTCCATCTATCTAGCTACATATCTGCTCTGTCTCTTTACTCTACTTCTCCCATCCCCACACTTTGGTATCAAGCATCGGACGTGAAACTGAATCAAGGACTTGCTCTTTGCGCATTCATATTCACCATGCTTGCCATCCAGTCTATGGAGGGCCCTCCTCGTCCACTTCCTGGTCCTCCTCCTCCTCTCGTTGGGCCAGAGCCTACTGAAGTTCGCCAACCAAAGCCCAAGACTCTACCCTGCAAGTACTGTAGCAAGCGGTTCAGGTTCGTCATCTGTTGTTGAACAAGAGTTAGGGTAGTATACTGATAAGATCTTCTAATGTGTAGACGTGTCGAACATGTTCAACGACATGAGCGCACCCATACCAAGGAGAAGCCATTCTCATGTGGTTGGGATCGCTGCGGAAAGACATTCGGACGAAGGTACGTTTACTCTAGTTACGCTATATACCCCGTCTCTCAGGCCGTCCCACCTGGCACTCATAAACAGTACTCACCACTCACTCATCCACATATTTTTTCAAATCTTGTCATCTCCGCTCGTCCTCTTCCTGTCTTTACTTTAATGTATCATCCCAGTTGGGGGTTCTCCTGTCACTCCAGTTTTGTCATCAAATACACATGCTTATATGGATATTAGAGACCTCCTTGTTAGACACGAGAAGCTCGTGCATTTAAATGAAGGTAGCAAGGACAACAATCGACCTAGGAAGTTGTCGTCCAATACATCCTCAGCTTCACATAAGAGTTCCATCTCTGAGGGTCAGATGAGCAATGAGGCTCTCGGACAGCAACATCTAAATGTATCGCGACCTCCGCCACCACAACAACCACTCCCGCAGCCACAACAGTTCCACCATGGCCTTCCACCAAATGCTCAACAAGGCCCTCAGGATCCCCGGACTCAGCCCCGAACTGCGGCTTGCAATCTTGACCTGCTCTCTGATGCAGCCCTCGCGAGCTCAGTGACACCTGTCCAGAGAAATGTTAATGCAGCGCCTCTTCCACCACATTCACCAGATTCCCGAAGAAAGAGTAGCTATGGAGAGTCCATCGTCGCATACACCACGGAGCGACCCCGGGAAGATCAGCCTCTGGGATCCGGATACGTGCCTCAACAGCTCCCTACTGGCTCTTATGATGATTATAACCCTTTCCTTGACGAGCTGACCTCTTCGTCACATTTCTTACCTCCAAATTTTGAAATCGAACAGCAGATGATGTATTCTCGGAGCCAAGGAGGACCTTCGGGGAGAAGATCATCAAAATCGTCCTTTGTGCCAGGCCGCTTCCCTCCGATGCAAACTGAGGCACGAGATCCTGCAGACCCTGGCGCTCGGGGTATCGACGAAGCAGCACGACAGTCAGCCCTTCGTATCTCAGTATCCGACCACACTGTGATTAAGAACAGACTGGATGAGTTCTCGGCTGTTCTACCCAATGACTTTGTGTTCCCGTCCAGGCACACATCGACCAGATTCTTGGAAGGATATATCAGCGGACTCCACGAGCATCTGCCCTTCCTTCATCTTCCAACATTTTCACCTGCCGAGGCCGCTCCCGAGTTGTTGCTTGCTATCCTTGCCGTGGGGGCCCAATATCGCTTTGAGAAGAACAGAGGCTATGCCCTTTGGTATGCTGCCAAGGCTGTCGCGATGGAGCAGATTCGAAGAAGGCGCATCTCGGAGGTTCACGCTTTATTACCGACTGCTTCCGCTTACAGTCCTCATTCCACGAGGCCCTCGCCAAGTGCCACATACCGCCACTCGTTTGCATCTGCACAGTCGGAGCGACCTACAACACAGGATACTCACCGAGAGCCATAGTAAGTCTCATTCTGTGTTCAACTGACGCTCAATTTTAACCGTGTTTAGCTCTCCAAATACTCCCCAGGCTCGGATTGAGACCATCCAAGCAGTTCTACTTCTATTCGCTGTCGGTCTTTGGGGCGTGCCGACCATCCTTCATGAAGCGCTGTCACTGCAGAGCAATTTGGCAATTCTCATTCGAGAAGAAGGCCTTGTAGCAGAAATCAACCAGAGTGCTGTTAACGACTGGGAAACCTGGATTCGACTGGAAACAGCCACAAGGACGAAGCTCGTTGCTTATTGCTTTTTTAATCTTTGCAGCATTGCCTATAACATGCCCCCATTGTTATTGACATCCGAGTTGAACCTCTTGCTCCCTCAAAGAGGTAAACTTTGGAGGGCTGAGACAGCTTGGCAATGGCAGGAAATGCGACAGTCGACGCCAATGATGGAGCTCACCCTGCATGACGCCTTCTCACGACTTTTTGGCAGAACAAACCAGGGACTTCCCCAACATCTGTCGTCACTGGGAAGCTATGTTCTCATCCACGCCCTCATCCAGCATATCTATCTTCTGAAGCAGACATCTTTCGCAACTGGTCTGCCATACAACATCCACCGAACCATGAAACCCGAAGATGTCGAGGAGGTTACGCAAGCGCTGCGTGTATGGCAGACGAGTTTCGAAGATCAGCATCAGCTGAGGGCAGCGGAAGCCGGACATTACAACGCATTGGACTCGAATGTGGGAGGAACCTTGGATTACACGGCTACAGCGCTACTGCGACAAGCCTACATCCGACTCTATACCGATGTCACGCCGTCAACCGCGCTCGAGACCCGGGATCCGCTTTTGGTGGCGTCGGCGCTGAGCAGGACCCCCTTGCTAGTACGGAGTCTAAGACTGCACCGGGCAGTGTTCCAAGCATTCCACGCCCTGTCGATGCTGGTTAAGGCTGGCGTCAACTACGTAGCCAGAACCAAGTCGGCCGAATGGAGCATTCAGCATTCGCGTAAGTCATTCATTGCATGCTTTGGGCCCTTGGAGATGTCTTGATCTCGACTCGATCGCTAACTCATTGTCATAGTGTGCAATTTTGAATGTGCTATTTTGGTATCCAAGTGGCTACTCACGATTGCGGCTATTGGGCCGCACGACGCTCCCGCTTCACCCGAGGAGAAAAACCTACTGGATATGGTTGGACGGATGCTTGATGAGACTGAATTTGCGGTCCCGCCAATCGACCCATCTCTTTCGGGGCAGAACGAGGTGCCATCAAGCGACAGTGCCAAGTTGCGACAACTGGCTGTTGCAGTTGTGCGACTCTGGGCAGAGACTTTCAAAGGAACACATATCTTTGAGATTGTCAAGGTTATGGGCCAGAGTCTCGATGCATACGCTGATCTGATCGAGAAGCCGAGAGACAGAAGTCCACCGGTCCGGTTGCTGGAGCCAAACATCAACTGAAAGGGTATCGACTAGAAGGGGAGGCCAGCAGGATAATATGACGACCAGCAATGGTAGTGAAGGAAGCGACAACCTTGGGGATTTCAGGCGTCTGGTTTGAGGAAATATGGGCAACAGGCAAGATGTTGGTTAACACGCCATCTATTGAAAGATGCTGGTCCTGGCTGGGAAAATGAGGGATAACATGATGGTCCACGATATGGGTTATCGTATACATGCGGCGTTTTATGGATGACTTGTTGTGTGAATTGATTGGAAAGGCATATTTTGATGAAGTTGGCGTTGGATATGAAGGACAGAAGAGGATAACGTGGCTTCAATGCCAGCTACAGTAGTGATTATAGGAGAGAGTTTTCTCATTATGTGAATCTTGTACTCCGTAGAGATCAGATCACTCGTCTTGCCCGAGCACGAGATGTGAAGCAAAGCGTGAGAGAAGACGAGACTGAAACATGGGGATCCTGTTTAAAAGTTGACTTTCTCCAAGATTAGTCTGCAACGGTTGGGACTGGATTGACTCTTCCCCGCAAGATCCATCTTGGATTGAGTTGAATGCAAGATCCACATCCACATGCGAACTTGAAGGGAGAAAAAAAAAGGAGGGGCCGAGCCGACTCCTTTCGAGCTAAGAGTGTGGGGAAGCTAGTGGAGACCAACGTGCATCATACCTCGGCACCTTTTTAAGGGACATACCGACCGAGAATGGTCACGTACGCAGCCTCGGGCCATTTTCTTTGACTTGTTTCTTAGGTGAGCTTGATAATATATCATAGACATAGATACCATACCAGACCATAGACTTAGAATCTCTACTACTCTTCTCTTATCTTCTTTCACTTTTATCTCTAGTCCATTTCTTCACCAAGAACCAAGAACCAAAAACCATCAGCCATCAGCAACCATGCCTTTTGCGACAGAACTCACCAAGCAACTCGGCATCAGAGGTTTGCACACCCAATCCCACATCCTCGACTCTCGTACTGACCATCTCCAGTGCCCGTCGTCCAAGGCGGCATGATGCACGTAGGCACCGCCGACCTCGCCTCAGCCGTCTCCAATGCCGGCGGCCTGGGTATCATCACCGCCCTCATCTTCCCCACGCCCGAGGAACTGCGCAAGGAGATCCAACGCTGCCGCACCCTCACCAAGAACCCCTTTGGCGTCAATATCACCCTTCTTCCCGCCATGGTGCCCCCGAACTACGCCGCGTACGCTCAGGCTATCATAGACGAGGGAATCAAGGTCGTCGAGACTGCAGGAAACTCTCCCGGGCCTGTTATCTCACAGTTGAAGAAGGCCGGCATCATTGTTCTCCACAAGTGCACCACGATTCGCCATGCTCAGAGCGCCGTCAAGCTTGGCGTCGACTTCCTCAGTATCGACGGTTTTGAGTGCGGTGGACACGTTGGCGAGAGCGACATTACCAACTTTATCCTGCTCAGCAAGGCCCGTCAAACTCTCGGCGTTCCCTTCATCGCCAGCGGTGGCTTCGCAGATGGTTACGGACTCGCCGCCGCGCTGTGCCTCGGCGCTTCTGGAGTCAACATGGGGACGCGATTCATGTGCACGGTCGAGGCTCCAGTGCACCACAAGGTCAAGGAGGAGATTGTGCGCGCCGACGAGACCGACACAACGCTCCTCATGCGCAGATGGAGAAACACCACCCGACTCTTCAAGAACAAGGTTGCCCTGGAGGCTCTCGAGGTCGAGAAGAAGAGTGAGAAGGGCGAGTTTGCCGAGATTGCCCCGTTTGTGAGTGGTAAGCGAGGAAAGGAGGTCTTTGTGAACGGCGATACTGAATACGGCGTAAGTTATACATTGAGTTGAGCTGAGTTGAGTTGAGGATGCAATGACTAACACAATTCGCAGGTTTGGACAACTGGCCAGGTCATCGGCCTCATTAATGATATTCCTACATGCGATGTCCTTGTTCACAGAATTGAGAAGGAGGCGGAGACGGCGTTGAAAGAGAGACTCGCGCTTCTGGTGCCCGAGTCAAAGTTATAGAGCTACAAGATACTAGACTCGCGAGATTTTGCTTAGAACTTGTACGAAGATGTGCTGTTTATGTTTGCTGAAGAAAGAATTAATTGCAAGCGACTTTTTAAACTGTGTCTTGTCTATGAATGAGTATGCTCTTTCTAGTTCTATGCACCCGCGTCGTCGAAATCCTATAATCTATGAAATGCATAGTCCAAACGGTGTCTCTTTTCCTCGTCTGATAGTTCTATTCGTTTACGAGGCCGAGGCTGCTGAACGACGAGCTCTGGAACACCGCGATTATCAAGCGACCATTCCTTCGTCTGGGTAAGGCTCACGCCTGTCTCGATCAGCGAGATTTTGCCTCCGGGTCTCCCCGTGCTCCAATCTGTAGGGGTAGTTCGTTGGTTATGATTATGCACCATGTCCTCTGTGAGATGGAGGTTCATCTCGAGAATGGCACCGCGAACGCCACAGTATATGGTATCTGAAAGATCAGACGCTTTTGCCAGACAATAGATCCTGTCATATGTGGGACTGCCAATATGAATGGTAGCGTCGGGACGCCAGTAGTTTCGCCTTGAAGCTCCATGCCAGTAACACAATACCCCGTTTTGAGGATCGCATTTCTGAGGTTGATGCTCCGGCGCCCATCCTTGCTTCATAATGTGATCATCCTTCTGGCTGGGAAAGGGCCATTGTGGCGAGCATGGAAGAGCAGTTGTGTGATGATATGGCTTTGGGTACCTGAAGTCAAATAGACGGATATCCGGTGCTGTGTTACTGCCGGATACGAAACGCTCTGTGCCATACACAAGGAGAGAACTACCTGCTTGATAGGGTTGAAAGCGATCACGGTATACTGCGTCTTGTGGTGAAGGTGTTCGGATATCTAAAAGCCTGAATAAGGGGTTAATAGCTGACCATAAGTTTTGTGAGATAAACTTGCCTATATGTGCCATCGTCCCATGCACTCAGAAGAAGATTTTCACTTCCGCCCCTGACTGGCTCGATTGCTCGAACTGTGGTCTTCTCACTGACTCCCCCACTTATCAACCTCGAAGCATCGTCTACGTGCATAGAGTTACTGTGAGCGTTGAAAAATTGTAAGCCAGTCGGGGTGAGCTGCCCCCAACGCAGAGGATTTCGAGTTCCGCCTAAAGCGCAAGCCATGATATCTTTGCCCATGAACTTGGTGCTGCGTAAGAGTGACGCCTCATCTGCAGGACTGGCTTTGGAAAATTCATGGCAATCCAAAGGGCTCAGTACTTGGTCATCTGACACACTGAGATTGTAGAGGGTCAAAACCGAGCCTTTACCGCTTGCCAGGAGATTCGTCTCGGGATGCCACTGTAGAGATGAGACTGCCACTTGGCCAGGGGATTTCCGCATAGGATCGGAGGCATGGCTCAGAAGTGCCTCGTCCGTTGGATTCAAGTGTCTTGCGACTGTTGCAAACTTGTCTTTGCCAGAGTGTATACTAATGTCACCGTTGGCCCTCCCAACAACAATATTGGGTATCCCGTCATTCTCTGTGACAGAAGTTGCTGTGACATCTCCAGTACCAGCTCGATAGCCATGATCATGGCCCCCAATCTGATACCAAGCATCTTGCTGCCCATCAACAGGTTTTATGCAGACCATAAGATTCTCACCCACGCCGGCGGCAATAACCTCATTGTTCGGCGACGACATAAGCCGCGCATCAATGACAGAATGGAACAGCACTGACTGGCTTCCAGCAACTCGACGCTGGAATCTTTCTGGCTGGTTCTTCTTTTCATGCAGCACATTGACCCAGAAGCCGCGCTTTTCCCAGCAACGATCCAAGTACGTTGCACGATCTGCAACAGAACTCCAGAGACCCTCTGAATTTGTATCTATCTGGAGGGATGGGAACCGAGTCTTGACGAAGGTACGCCAGCCATCTTGGCGTATGAGACTTTGGAGATGCTTCGTCAAGGCGGAAACGTGAGCTACGTCACGAGCTGTGTCGAGATGCTCGACAATATCGAGAACAATATCATCTGGAAGGCTTGCCAGAGATGTTCTATCCATCATAGTTTCATTTCGCCTGAGGCTCTTGAGGTGGTGGTGGTTATGAAGTGATGCAGTTTTTACCCTGATCTGGCTTGTAGCAGTATTTTCGGGTCTATCGAGTCTTGAGGTTTGTCTTTAACTGATGTCAAAAAATCAAAAGATCTTGGAACTGTTCTAATTCGATTTTATAACATGAAGGATTTTGGCTGAGGAAGAGAAAAAAAAAACTTATACGACTCCAACAGTGAGTCAGCCATTGCTTACTGTGGTGCCTGCCTGCCTAATATTAGTTTCACGTTGTAGAAAATAGAGCGTCATAGCGGGGTCTAGGGAGTAGGTACGTACTCCCGTCTGATAGCTAGACCTAGGTATCAGTCTCTATTCAACATGCTTCAACTTCATTTCCCTGTCACTAATCTAAGTCACTAGAGTTTAGGCCTATGAGTGTCATTGCGGGCGAATTTGTTTGTATGGTGATGTTTCATTCTGTGTCTCAAACCATACAAGTCATCGATAAACGGCCCAAAATCATAAAGACGCCAAAACATTCCCCGCCGTTAACAAGCAATAGAAAAAAGCTGCAAGCCAAGCCGTAGATACAGAGAGCGTATATACACATGTTGTGTACAGGAGAAAACACATCCAAACAGCGCTGTCGTCATCCTTCAACACGAAGTTCTGTAAGGCACAAGCCTTGAGTTAGACATGGCAAGGCCAAAAAGTGCAACATCTCGACTGCGATCAGAAAGGACCAGGTAAAAGGAAAGAAACCATATGCAGGTAATGAACGGATGCTATATGAGAGAGCGGCTCCAGGAGTCATTATGACTCCGAGCCAGCTGAACGTATCAAAAGGGTTGAATCGTGCAATTCAACCAGTACTGGTGCTGCACAGAAGCTGCACCTATTCCAAGGGGCAGCAACGTGGAGCTTGCGTAAACGTTGGGAATCTATGGTTGACCTTGGTAACCAATCTGAGGACCGGCCTGTTGGATTTTGTTGACCCAATCACGGCCCAAGGTTATATGAATACCATCGTCGCCTATAAAGTCATTGTATACGACGAAATATAGTCGAGTAGGAGGGAATGTGAGGCGATGAGACTCGAACTCTACCCAGGCGTACAGGATCTGTTCTATGTCGATCAATGCACCACTGGGACATTTAGTCTTTCTGCCGATTCCTGGTGGGACACTTATAACTTGTATAAGAGACGAACGATGGAGTGTTTCGACAGAACTTTGGGCTATGAAGCTCAAGTCCAAATCCTTATCGAATGTGACCTTTTGGCGGGTTGAATAGCCGCCATCATATGTTGCTTTGACTAGATTCAAATCCTGTCCAGAAGAAGAACAGGAGGAGATACTGGGGCCGGGTGGCGGTAGTTCTTGTTGCACGTCGTGTCCCATGTCTGAAGGCCAAGCAAGGCCAGAAGGATTACCAAAGTCTTGGATGTAGTCTGGTACTAGAGGGCTCTGGATAGAGGGAGCACTAGAAACCATGTTAGTCAAGTTGAAAGGATGCAAACGGTATTGAATAACTAACCCAAATTGTGTCCTGGATTGTTGGAAAGACTTGGATGTGGTCTGGGTTGACTCTGGCAGGGGAAAGCTGTCATTGATATCAAAGTCCAAGTCCGACGCTTGGGTGATAGAGGAGGTAAAACTGGGAGCAGTATACTGGATGTACTGTTCTGATATTGGTAATGAATATGGCTCAGAATAGAGAGCTGAGGTAACGAGAGTGTTGTAATCCAAAGGATAAAGGGCTCGTGTCTGAGGTTGACCTCGAGGGTCGACGGTAGTAATGTTGGACTCGTCAATGTTGCTGTTGCTCGCTGCGATGAAGATCTGCTTCTGAATCACGGGGCTTTCGACGTTGCTCTCTGAAAGAGGGTTCGGTGCTTCCGGTAGCAGATATGTTTCTGAAGCCCAGGCTGTGATTCCTTCTACTTGGGGGGATGTCGAAGGCTTTGCTGCCGATGCCGGTGACGATGATACGGATGCTTGGGGACGCGACTTTGCCTTCTCTTTCTTCTCCTTCTCTGCTTTCTGCTTCACAAGTTTCTCCAGAGGTCCAGGCAGGAAACCCCCAAACACTTTTCTCAACGATTTCTTTTTAGGATAATGTGATCGCACGATCATGACAGCATTGATACCTGTCCTGGCCGTAATGAGGTTTAAGTATACCCAGAAAGTCGGAGTTCAGACCACACTTGGAAGAATACCAAGGAAGTAGAAAAGGGAGAAGACCCAGGTCGCCAAAGACTCCAAGCAACCGCTGGCGAGGAAAATGAAGGAAGAGAAGCAGCAGAGTATACGATCAGGCCTCAAGTTAGGCTCTCGATCCCGGTCTTATCATGGACCAGATCAGTTGAGCCTCATCAAGTACCGGCACGAACATGGATGGCGTACCATGATGGGAATTTACATGGCCGATACGTGGCAGAGAAAACCACAAAGACACAGCGCTCCCTCAGCCAGACGAGCACTACACAGCTGTGATATACCGTAGCTAGGAGGGCCATGTTTACCTATAGATGGCTACATCTTCTCTTTCAACCCACCCTGGCTGCAGAACAAGGGACCATGCTATTATGCAGTCAACTGGTTTAGTGAGCGATATCGAGCCGTGGTTGGCCGAGGTTGGCCAAGTAAAGCATTGACTGAACAATTACAAAGTGAAGATAGCAGAATCAGGGCAGACACGGTGATATACAAGGGTTCTATAGGTCAGGAAACTGTAAGGGTTGTCCCTATTTAGGGAATTGTAACTTTTGAAGTTGAGGGGCTGGTGGTGATTATATCACCAGTGACGTCTCGAGGCCCAGACTCGACTCCCCGAGCACCTCGCTTTGTATTTCACAATTGGTCTTCTGCATTAGCTCCGCATTCTGATGTGATTTATGCAATGTGATATCGGTGAATGTGACAACTCACAGGTGGGTGACTACGTGGCTTTCTCATTCGGAAATCCCCCATTCCCCAGTCCCTCTCAGCCTGATTTGTTCCAAGACAACAATGCTGATCAAAAATGCTTCACGCTATGCATCCTTCATTATGTTGCCGGGCGTTGGTATACTGGGCTTGGCTAGAAGTGGTCATTGACTATCATTGTTAATCCTATTTTTCACAAATATTAAAAAGGCCCTTTCAACTCCCTTTGCTAACCTCGGTCCCCGCTGACTGCCGTGATGTGTCTGACATTGGAGCCTCACTCGATATCTTCCTACAAGTCTTGGGCCTCTTCCATCCTCATATCCCCTCTGGGGCTACTCACTCGTTTCAGAACAGGACCCTGAAGATACTCTCCTCCCCGCTAAGTCGAAGACATGTCAGATGTTTTCACTCAACTAGTCATCATTAACTGCTGGCCAGTTTCTGCCAACGATTACAACCTCTCCAAACAACGAAACAAGTCCCAGAACCCTCTCCAAATCAGTGCCATAATCTACGGCAGAGCCTATGGCCTCGTCTCCAAAAACATAGCAGAGAAGCTTTTGGGGACAAGCGAGAAGCCTACTTCCGGGCTCCCCTCTGTGGTAGAAATCTCCTGGGCTCTATCTGGCTCTGAACAGGACTTGGAGACGAGCCAGGTTCATATCATTCCTGGGCTAGAGCAAGACCTCGTCCTTGGTGATAACCCCGAGGAACTGTACCAGAGTGTCCACCTCCCTTCCCCAGCACATTCCCAGGGACCTGAACCAGAAGGGCAAGGGTCAAGTGCGTCCTGTCCAGAGGAAACCTTGCCCTTCCAATTCAACACCTGCGAAGACTTTAAGAGTCAAGGCATAGTCCCCAAGAATCAACAATCTCAAAAAACTCTCGAGCTGCTACTGGCTCGCTGCCGCATAAGAGCCCAAAGCCCTCTCCTCCACCTCAAAACCGTAGCTTCAGAGCCAGAACAGCCCGAAGGACTGTCAAAGATTGGCACTACTTCCTTGTGCGGATCTTTTGATATCTCCTCCAACACGTCTGATTCAGATGGGAGATGGATCATGCCGGCCAGCGACAAATTGCACACGGAGAGGACTTCCTCGCTGCAGCCTTCGGACTCTGCTAGTATGGTCGACCCCGGTGAGAATATCGCCTGGGAGTTATCAACAGAAGCATCTCAAGCTCTTTCTCACAGTTTCCAATTCCATGGCTGGTCTCTGGTAGACACAACCTCAGCAGATACCCATCCAAGTACCCCTGAATTGGTGGAAGATCAGAACACTACCCATGAGTCTCAGAACGACGATTTCGCCACGCACCCGGGTCATCAATTCTGGGAATGGGACGTTGAGAGACAACTTTGGCGTCGAAAGGGTCAGGACGGGTCGGACGAGAGAGACTGGTTTGAAATCCCTCAATAACAATGGCTTGCTCGTAAGATACCCAGTCCAAGGAGTTCCTTGAGCACTAAAAGCTAAAAACACATAGCTTCAATAATATGCTCGTGTTTTTTTTTTTTTCGTTTTGTTTTCTGATCTTTAGTTTGCACCCGCAGTTATTGCTAGACAGTTCAATATATAGCATTTTGCTCTTAATTTACTTATGTCTGCTTGGCTACTCGACTATCGTTAGTATCAACAGCCTACTAGATGGCCATCCCGACAATTCGAGAGGTGAGCTTGAAGGTGGCAAACAGAATGCCGGTATGTATTCGAATCATAAGCAGCTTATCCAATCGCAAATATGCACCACAGAGCAAAAACGCCATACACCAACAATCTACACGCCAACTACCAATAACGACGCCTCCCAATGCCTGTATCATCATAATAGTAGATGCAGCGCCCGCACGCCCTTCTCTGCCGCTGCAATATGCCAAGGTCGAACATCCATCTCGCGATCTACAACACCTCGTGCTCTGGCTAGGGTTCCGAGACCCCTAAAATAGCACAGCATTTCTCTTAGAAGAGGCTCGTACGCCCTAGGTGTAGCCTCTGTGTGAACAAGGTTGACCTCCATCACGACCGGGGGGTCTTCAAGCTTTGTTCCTGTTCTTTTAATCAAATATCCACTGGCAAGTGCCGGTCTTACTTCCAGTAACGTAGTAGAGTTACAGAGTCGATGTCCCACGATGGCACCCCATGTCTGGTCAGTGGCATCGATCAGGAAGGAATCGGCCTCTGCTTCTGCAGCACCCTCGGCTGTAGGTGTAGCAGCTAACGTGCTAGCATCACGCATAGGCGTTGCCGGCGTTGTGGTTTGCTCCGGTGAAACAATATTAGCCTGGGGTGTGGATACTGGTGTCGAGTAGAACGCCGAGGTTGCCGCATGAGGAATCTTCACGATCGGCGGGACCAGCTGCAAAGATGGGTTGGTATCGACGGACATGATAATCATGGTGAATGAATGTTTGTCGTCTAGCGTTGAGGCTGCTTGCCACCACTCCACCTCTCTTTGGTCCATTACCCCAGACTTGGTGATGATCACTCGCCAATGAACTTTCCAGATCGATATCATAGTCAACGTAGTCGCCCAGATCTCAGCTATGATGGCGGCCTTGTGTTGGGAGACGGAACGATCCGGTGTTCTGCTCCGAGTGATTGAATAGGACGTGGTCGCTTGTCGTTGTCCACGATTGTCGGTCCATGCAGCTGTAATCCATCGGCCGTCAAGACTTTCAGCATAGCCAACATGTAAACAGGAATTCTCATGCATAAGGGACTGAGAAGGTGACGTTGTAAGCTTGAAGTCAATCATGCGAGGTGGAGGCTGTTCGAGCATAACTGCCGGTGCCGGTGTAGGGCCACCGAATTCGGTATCCAAAAACAAGGTGCACCTATCATATGTCTCTATGCAGAGCTTAATCATTTCCGCGGGAGTCGGGACGACTAGCGACGTCGTGGAAGAGATCATATCTAACGAAACAAGCTGCAGCACCAGCTCATTCTGTGGAGATTCTCGACGAGCTGCTAGAAGGTCGCTGTACTCATCAAAGCAACGGTAGAAAGCCGTGCAAGCCTCGATGATGGAAGCTGGATTATCTGGCGAGTAAACAAAGTAAATGACCAGATTCTTGTCTTTCGACTTCAACTCTGACAGAGAGCTTCGGAGCACTTCCATGCTTTCCACAAGAGCAGAGCCATGACCAGTCACGGTTGCGTCAGGCGAAGTCGAGATCCTATCAACCTCATATGGCAAGACGCCATCGTTCCAATCTCCAGACAACGGCAGGTTGTTGAGAGTGCCAAGTTTCAACGATTCATATACACTCTTTACGCGGCCGAGGAAACTTTCAACGTGGTCTGACATCCCCTTCCAGCCTGGAAAGATGCAAAGAGCGGAGATGTCCTTTGGCCCCCACGAAGGTGACAGCCCGAGACCTTCCCAGAAAGACATTGATGATGGAAGTACTGAGAGTTTCGTTTCTGATCTGCGCACTTCCAGATGAGGTACAGGAATCTGGTATAGATTGTTTGCGCGCAATTGCTCAGCGTTGGGATCTCTGCCCGGAATCGGTCTGGGCTGGAGACGGCTCGGTTGTCCTACAAGGGGGAGGTCCTGAATTTCCAGCAGCCCTTTCAACCGCACAGCCGTGGGGGTACCCAAATTCGAAGGCATGACATCGTGTAGAAGTTGTAAGGAGTTCCGAGCGATATTGAGCTCATGGCTCCTCATAGTCGCAAGGGAGACAGACGACTCAGCCTTATGCTCGAGGCCAATTTCAAGTCGCCCGGTAGCAGCCTGTTCGGTGATGATTTGCGCAATCTCAACAAAATCATGGTTGGAAAGGCCTACGTCCACGTTCAGTGGCTCTGGGTCCAAAAAGAAACGGTGTAGCAGCATTTCTGGCGATTCTGTTTTGGACAGTTTTGGGAGCTCGATCGCAAGTTGCTCATCAGTGAAATCATCTAGCAGTTCTGTCTCTCTAGAAGTTGTAGCCTGTGAAAGAACATCATCATCCACGACGGTTCGTTTAATACTGGACTTGACGGGAGAAACTGGGCCACCAGAGAGCGAACTTATATCATCTCCGTCTGACTCGAGATCACTCTCCTCAGAGATCCAATCATGCCCGTTCAGTCTCTGGGGGCTTGCATGGGTAGTAGATGTGTCAATACCAGTCAAACTTCTGATAAGGGAGTTCCCAAGAAGTGATTTGGAAGTCTGCTTCAGCTTTCCTTGCCCTTCGAGATACTCATCTCGAGAAAGATTATGGGCACTCGGCCTCGAATCTCCGTTACGCTGGTCCTTTGAAAAGTCGAATGCACCGCCATGCTCATACTTTTTGTTGATCAGAGGGATCTTAGGATCAAACTCGACCTTTTCAAAGACACTACTCTTTCTCCGAGGGGGCTGGACAGCATAATCATCCTTGGTAGGGCTGGACAACGAGGCCCGGACTCGCTTGAACACCGTGGCAGGGTCAAATGGACTAGACCCTCGCTTGGCAGTATCTGGTCGCTCAACTTTGATTCTGTGATTAAGCTCCTCATTGAGTGAGCTCCTGGCATGCTTCAGTTCTGGCTTAGCGAAGACAGAATCATTGATCTTTGGCTTTGGTTTGACTTCAGGCTGCGGCTCTATGGCCTTGTGAGGCTGCGGATGCGGCTGCGGATGTGATAACAACGGCGGAGGCATTACCTGGGGCGCAGGTGCAGTAGGAGCTGGTTGCAAATCTGGCATGTCCATGTCCAGATCGTTGCCGTCAGGGCCGTCAAAGAAATTAAAGTCATCCTCTGTTACATCGTGGTCCCCGAACACATCCTCACCCAAGTCGTTCATTACATCGTCAGAATCGCCCATAGCGTTGCTGTTGCTTCGTTCTCTCTTTTGTTCGTGATGGCCTCCCCAGGCGTCATTCTCAGCATCAGGCATCGGTGTCGCTGTTGGCATCGTGATATCAGCATCGACAACTGCAAGGGTCGGGGGCGGGTTGTTGGGACTTGAGATCGCTCCATCCAAGGAATGGGCAATGCCGATGTGTTGTTGAATTGCGTCGGGGGGTGTTGGATACATGACACCAGCGGCAGCGGTGCTAGGTCGCCTCATGGTCAAAGGAGACTGCCCATTGAGATTTTGAGCGACGGGGTTCGCACCATTAACTTCTTTAGGGACAGCATACATTCGCTCAGCTCTGCGTTTGGAGATTCTCTCCTCCCTTTCAGACGCACTGGCGAACCATCCACGAGCATCTCCTAAAGGATCGTGGCATTCCTCGTGGCCACTGAGCATTGTGTCGCCAACACGATGAGTTGTTGACATTTCCAATGGCTTCTTTCGAAAGCAGAGCGATCCTGGCCAGGGAACTGTTGCCCGTGATCGCTTAGATTCCCCGTCCGCATCTTGCGAAGTCGGCTTGGAAATAAGGAGGTTGACCCAGGGGCTCGACTTGAATTGAGATGGGTTGAGTCCACAGTATTCGAGTGCTTTGAGGCATGAGTGCTTCCATTGCGAATCATTTGTATCTGGGACACTTCTCACGCTCAAAGCTTGCGTATTAGGTGTCTGTGCTAGGCTTCGATCCGGACCATCCCCATTCGCAAAGTTCTGTTTTGTTGCAAAAACTCCATAGGGGGCAGCCAGCACTGAGCTACTTGGCGAAGAGGAATCACCTGTAAGAACATCTTCCACTGTCGCCAGGTTCTTGCAGTAAGCGAAAGTGAGACTGACAACAAGAGAGCCCGTAGTAGTGAGATATGTCTTGAACGTGCCAACGACGGGATCGGCTTGCAATGAGCCCCTTTCCCGGTCATTCGCATCGGCTTGCAAAGGTGGAATCAACATTGTCCTGTAGTTCAGTGGAATGGCCATAGACCGACTACAGAAAGCAAACGCTATCGAGGAAATGACTGCGACTATGAACTGTTCGTAGATAATCTTTGGCACTATCCGCGGCGTCCTCATGTCGGTAGCCTGAGCTGAAGACTGAGACCCTCCGTCTGGCAAAGCCCCTCCAGCGACCTGAGTTGGTGAAATCAAAGGGTTACGGCTATTTGCCTCGGCCGGAGATGAGGTCGACGCTGCATTATTCGGGGCATTCTGTGTGGTGTTCCCCGGGATGCGGCTCTTCTGCAAAGCTACTGGTTCAAGGGTACCCTCCTCAACCATCCCTAATGTGTAGCCTGAAGCTTCCAGGCTAGATCCTGGGGCAGAACTGACGAGACTGCTCGTCCCGTCTTTGCTGACGATTTGGAAGATCCATATTCCTACTCGTTCGGCGTCGTACGAAACAAGCTTTCCTTGGTCGCGAAGGGAACTTTGAATCTCGAGAGCGGATGATTGAAAGCCATGCGATTGGTCAGGAGGAGGCTCGTAGATGCGAAAGGCTACCGACGCGATGTTGTTCTGAAAAGTTCAAAGTTAGATAAAGAAATGCTTTCGGAGGAAGGCTAAGAGTATAAGGGTAACTCAAACATACTATCGACAAGGTATTCGTCTCATATTCACTGGTCTCCATTGCGACAACTTCCTCGCCGTTCCGAAGTCGCAACCGTAAATGCGGCCTTAGGAACGACGGCGAGGCCCAAGCCTAAAAGGGCTCGACACTCTGCGTCGTTTCTTCTTTGCAGTCGAGCCTTAGGATAAAAGAAGTTGTCGAGATCTGGTTGTCTGGATGGTACTGGTAGGGGCAGTCGACTCCCCAGACTCCATCTCAACGGGCTCAGACACTTGTGTTTAGTCGCAGACTCGCAGCTCGGGGATGGTGCCACGGAGAGCTAAAATGGCTCGGACGGTAAGTTAATTCTTCGAAATATTGCTGAAAGAAGTAAAGGCTAAGTTATCGACGTTATGTTGTGTTCTCTGGGCATAAGGAAACGATGTGATGATGGTCTGGGCCTGTCCGATATTTGATGATGTCTGTCGCGACGAACTAGGCGTTGGCGGAGGTGGGAATTCAGTGGAGGCGGAAGAGCAAGGGCCTCAGCTGGGATGGGGAACACTTTTAATCGGGGTCAATCAAGTGGTTTGTTGACCGGGTTTAACGGGGGAGTAAAGGAACGGGCAGCCAATTTCAAGGGACTGAATAGGAGCGAATTAGGCTAGGCTAGGGGAAGAGAAGATCAGCAACAGTAAAGAGTTGGTCCTTGGAATCTTGACGTTTGTATCCGTATACAATTTGATACAAGCAAGACCATAAACTACCAAAGTGAATCCTCTATCTTACTGTTTGGTTTCAAATAACTAAATTGTGTTGTCAATAACATTATGTAGAAATCATCAGAGTATATACATTCTCCCTCTGCTTGAGATATCCACTGAGGTCCCTTACCGAGAGTCACCGACCACACCGAAGATAGTGGGGCGTCGTTTTTCTTGACCTTGATTTTTTTCCAAGTCCAAGGCGCATCACCTGGTTAATCGCAAAACTTGCATTATTCCTCTCAACACGACAACCAAGTTTCGTCAGTGCGGTTTTGCTGTAACACCGCCATCATGAAGCTTTCAAACCCGGGAACTGTTCCCGTATATACAATTTCGGGCGCATCTAGTGCCCGACCTCTACCCGACTGGCTTGCGCGACGCAGAAAGCGAAGTTTGAAGGACGATGCCGAATACCAGAATCGTGTCGAGCTTCTGCAGGATTTCGAGTTCGAAGAGGCTAGTAACTGTATCCGGGTCAGTGAGGATGGCGACTGGATCATGAGTACAGGCACATACAAGCCCCAGATTCATGTTCATAACCTACCTCAGCTGTCGCTGTCTTTCGCTCGTCATACCAACTCCCTCAACCACTCATTTGAGCTCCTGTCAACCGATTACTCCAAATCCCTTCACCTTCAAACCGATCGCCGCCTCGAATTTCACACTCCCATGGGCTGCCATTACGAAGTCCGTCTTCCCAGATATGGGCGAGCTCTTGTCTACGACCGGCAATCTACCGAGGCTCTTGTGCCATCGGTGGGCTTGGATAGCGATGGTAAGGGCGAGGTGTTCCGCCTCAACCTTGAGCTAGGACGCTTCATGAAGTCATATCAGGTCGATGTTGGTGGCGACGATGAACTTACTGGGGGCGGTTTACAAGGAGGTATTGGGGTTGGTAGCGTCAACACGGCTGCTATCGCTGAGAATACTCACAACTTGCTCGCTTTTGGGACTTCGATAGGAACAGTTGAGTTTTGGGACCCCCGATCCAAGTCCAGGGTCGCCTTGCTAGGAGGCCACGAAGGCGAAGTTACAGCACTGGACTTCAGCCCTTCAGGCCTTTCTATCGTTACGGGTGCTTCGAGTGGCATGATGCAGATTTTCGATCTGCGACGACCCGTGCCCCTCATGAAGAAGGATCAAGGATACGGTTTCCCTGTGCATAAGCTCATGCATATGACAACGGCATCACAAGAAAAGAAGATTCTGTCAGCGGATAAACGCATCATCAAGCTATGGGATGAGGAGACAGGAGATCCTTGGACGTCAGTAGAGCCTATCGTGGACATCAACGACGTTGCATGGTGCAAGAATACCGGTATGATCATGACAGCCAACGAAGGCAAGCAGCAACATGCGTTCTTCGTTCCCCAACTAGGTCCCGCTCCTAAATGGTGCTCATTCTTGGACAACATGGTCGAAGAAATGGCGGAAGAGGTGCACACCGAAACATACGACAACTACAAGTTCTTGACACTGCCCGAACTGAAGCAGCTGAGCTTGTCCCACCTGGTTGGAAAGACCAGCCTACTTCGACCTTACATGCACGGATACTTTGTGGCCTCCAAGCTGTACGAGCAGGCTAGATTGATTGCCAACCCATACGTCTGGGAAGAGGAGAGGACGAAGCGTATCAAGGATAAGGTCGAGAAGGAACGCGCAAGTAGAATCAGAGGCACTAAGAAGGTCAAGGTCAACCAGAAGATGGTGGATAAGATTCTCAAGAAGCAGGAGAACAGAGATGAGGTTGACACCAATGTCGGTGTTCTTGGTGATTCCCGTTTCAGCAAGATGTTCGAGGATGAAGCCTTCCAGGTGGACGAGACTACTGGAGAGTTCCGTGCTCTCAACCCAAGCACTGCGGTGGGACAGCAGGTCGATTCGAAGGCCCCAGCCCGATATCAGGGCAAGGACTCTGACGATGATGTGTCCGGTGATGAAGATATGGAGAAGAAAGTCCCAGCAACAAGGCGAAAGACCAAGGACGAAGACGTCGTCATGCGTGTGTCTTTAACCACCAACCAGGGACGGGCTGTCAAGGACACGGCGCTTGGCTCGAGACAGCAGAAGTCGGGGCGCACTCACCAGGCCCGAGGAGAGGTTGTTGGCGAGCGCCAAGTGTCCTTCATTCCAGAGTCAAGGAGAAAGCAAAAGAAGAGAGAGGAGGAGCTACCTGCTGAACCCCGGGACAAACGAACAGGAGCTGCTCGACGCAGCGCCAGTGGCAACACATTTAGACGGATCTAAGAAATGAGAAAGACAAAACAGGCGCTTGGATTTCATTATCAAAATAGCAAAGGCGTTAATGCTCAGTTCGTGGAGTAAAGATGAGACAGCCCATGCGTGGAAGGTTACTATTTATACATGGATGATACCCGGATCCTGTCCGTTGGAAACACCAATTTGAGACCACAACCATCAAATACGTGGCTGACAACTTCTATGACCACTCCTGCCACCGTGACTGCCAGTCGCACACTACAGTGAGGATCTCCCTCTGCTGTTGCTGTTGCTGTTGCTGTTGCTGCTGCTCCTCACTTCTTTAACCACTTCTTCTCCTTACGCTTTGCCTTGGCTTGAGCTAGACCCTTTTCAAGATCCTCAGGTCGGATTCTCGGAGTCGGAGGGACATCATCATCAGCAATCCGTGTACGGTTACGATGAGATGGAACAGGCCCGTCTTTGACTGATGAAGGGAACTCTGTTCTCCGCGGTGTGAGAGCTGTAACAACCTTACGGGCGGACTTTCTGATTGTCTCTCTCATTGTCCATTCACGCCTCTTTGCTATGAAGAAGAGAGCGGCTGTGGAGACTATAACAAAGTCAGTGCATGTAAACGATCAATGGGGGAGAGATACATACTGCCGATCAAACTGACGACAACAACTACAACGATGATAGCAATCATGCCGCCTTGAGAGATGGAAACGGAGTTGCCTGAGCTGTCACCAGCAGCACCCACCTCAGTGCCAGAGTCGGCACTTGGAGCACTATCATCATAGCTCTCCGACGCAAGTGGGAAAGGGTTACTTGTCGAAGTCATTGTCTTTGAGTTTGTGTAAACTGGTGTAAGGATATGGCTGCTCGAGAAGCTGCACAGGAAGGTTCACAGAACCTATGGATTATGGCAAAAAAAAAAAGTAAAATACCGTGTAATTAAGAAAGAAGGGTTAGGAATTCTCAAGAATACCGCCTCTTTGGTGAGGGCAGCCACTTGTATATACATCCCCAAGTCTTTGGTTCCTCATCCTCCACAAGCGTAGTACTCAGACCCTGGCATCCTTGATACCGGCTTGGCTCTCAAGTCCCGAGTATTCGAGACGAATCATCATTGGATTTCCATCACGGGGCCGAGACTCGAGCACAGCAGCAGGAACCGCGATATAGTAGCACGCACATCTGTGATTGGCGACAATCCAGCTCGAAGCGCTGAGCGGCGAAGCCTCAAACAGGGGTCCAGCCAATAAGACTTGAGATCTGGGCTTTATCAACCTCCATGCCTGTACTTCGTCACGCGCCAAAGGGTGATTAATGCAGGGCCGTTATTGTGCGCAAGGGAAATATTCATATTTTTCACAGTGATGAGCCGCCGGATTGGTTCTGCAAAGCCTTAGTTTGGGATTAAGTCGTAGTGCATGTGGGTGTTGGATATTTGTTTCACTATGTGATGTTGGGCCGGTGATAACGGCGGTTGACAATGATCAACTAACGGTGGCCCATGCATTGTTGGCGTCCATTTCTGAACCGAAGCGCCAGGGGTCGTTGTTGGTTCTTTATATGCTTATCGTGTAAGTTGACCTGCAGCCGTTGTCATGGTTTTGACAGCGTTTGAGATTGATTTTGGCAGGAAGAGAAGACGTTGAACTTCAGATAACCGCCGTTCTAGATGATACTTCTAAGCGAAAAACTTGGCGATGCGATGTTACATCATCTTAGATCTGGTATAAGCGCCTTTAGCAGTTGAAATGTATTCATGACCCTGCTCAGGGTGATACAACCATGCTGTGTGATACAAAAACGAGGCCTCCTTTACAGTTCCCTTCTTGCGATTTCGTATATGTTAGATGCTTGTATGATAGCCGAAGATCGTATATGACCCTAGCTTCTTTAAGTCAGTCTAAAGCACCACCAAAATAGTCACATTCACAAATTGCCTAAAACATCTCCAAATGCGACTTGTAGTTTAGTCGAGGTGCAAGTTGACAGCAGTTAAGAAAGAAGCACATCACTTAATCTCTCTCGAATATCCTCTTACAAATGAAGGCATATAATAAGCTTGACTTATACAGTTCAAGGAGGTTAGTTACACTAGAAGGCCACAAGTGATAGCAGGCGGTAACTGGAGGAACAGCTTTCCTGGGGGGTTATCAGTTTACCTAGATATTCTTTCACCCTTCATCATGCACGTTGTTTCGAATATAAACATACCTACCTTGCTGCCAATTACCAACTCACTAAAGCCCCCAAAGTATAGGTACCTAAGGTAGAATCTTAATAATTCGTACGGCAGTTGGATTCCTATACCTTAAAGGCCAGAAGAAGGAACGCGGCCAGTAACAGTTTAAGGTAGGTACTGTCTACTAGGTACCTTAGGTAGTAACTGGGTATTGCCTCTTCAAGGCATCATTCTCAAAGTCCCTCCTGCTCCGAGCTCTTTGAGATGTGCGTGCTTCCGCTCAAAGTGTGCCCACGGCAGGCACCATGGGTTAGAATGAACAGTGGATCACTGTACCTACCTATACAATCTAGGCAGGTGAAACTTCCCGAAAACATTTTGCGGAACCTCAACTGGAAGCCGCATCACAAACACCTTCTAGCATTTATGATGGAGGGACGACTGAGACGAGAAGGAGGGTACAAGCAAGCCTACTGGAAGGTTCGGGGAATTTATTCTCTTCTTTGTCAACTCACGTTGTCATTTTCAACTTATTCACATCACCCCTCTCCTCACAGTCGACGATACCCTTTTTAAATCTCGTAATATAGGTCTTCTTTCTTTGTAAAACGTGAGGTCTGGCTGGCCTACCAGCTACTCAGGCGCAGATGACCGCCTCCCCAGACCCGAGACCCAGAGCATCATTCAGTCGAGGCAGCAGCCAGATCTCTTTTGTACCTATTGAAGATGAAAGAGATTTCGATAGCCTCGGATCGGTCATCCCGGATTCCCAGACAGCCCCTGATACGCTTTTGAATCAGCTTCATCTCAGGAGGTTCTCGGTGCCAAGAGAGGAGGTTTCGACGTCAACAATGGCCGAAGGTTTCTGCTTTGCCGAAAAGAAACCTCCTCGCCCTGGACAGTTCTCGGAGAGACCTAAACCTGAGCAGCCTCAAGCAGTTGATACTTCCCAGTTCTTCCCTAGACCAAAAAACATTCCTGCTGAACACTCCCCACTCAGTCCGCTACACGCTCCTGTCCATATCCATAGGCCTGCGATACCTTTAGATCTCCCTGAGCTTGGTCTAACGGGGTGCAAAGTTGTCTCCGAGATTTCCTCTCATGTTAATGAAGAAAACCTCACTGGTCGGTCGGATAATTCTTCAAGTCACACCATAATTCCATTGGAGAAACCTTCTACACGAGACAGCCCTGGTGAAGCATCAGTCATCTGTATCAATAGCTCTGGGCTCCCTCATGAAAATACATCGGAAGCTTCTGATATAAACGCACCACCTCCAACAGAAACTGGATCCATCTTTGATGCTTCTCGCTTCGGTAAAGAGGCTACCAAAGCTCAAATTTCTCAACGGCTGGGAAAACAGGCAAATATTTCTCTCCCTCACATCAAAGGCCATGGTAAGTTACAAATCACGAAGCCAATGGCCCTTCCCGCTAAAGCTCAAATCTAGGGCGCCAACTTGAAGATCTAAAACTTCCCCTTCCACATATTACGCGTGTTGACCGAGCCTCGTATCAAGCGCCCTCTTCCAGTAATTGTGGTGACCTGGAGGCACCTGTTCCCCGAACTCCCGTGACCACTACAAAGTCTCGAAATCGCGTATCCCGTGGTCACTGGCCGATTCAGCCCCCATCGGCAGCTAAATACTATAGAGTGTCCGACAGAAATAAGGATCGCCCGGCTTCCAGGAGTAGCAATATATCAAGAAAACGCTCTGCTAAACAGAGAGTCTACCCTCGACCAACATTTGAGCCTGACCGAAAGAAGATTGCAATGCAGAACGTGGCTGAATACTGGAACGAGTGCATACAGATCGCCGAAGCTGAGCGTCAGGAGGCCCTTCAGGAGATTACACTTCTTGAGGATAAATTGCAGCACACACAGAAGGCTTTGGACAAGTCTGTGCAACTCATAGCGGAAAAGGATTCCGCGATTGGAGATTCGAAGTGTCGCCTTGGCAAGTTACAAGAAGAAGGATCACTGGCGGAAAAGGAAACTCGAAGATTGCAGGGTGAGATTGAATCTCTTCGCTCCGACTTGATCAAATCTCGGGATCTCGAGGCAGCCACTCATGAAAAGTATCGCAAACACCGGTCAAAGCTTAATGAAGCTATTAAAGAACAGCAGGATCTCTTTTCAAGGGCTCGTAATCTTCACAAAGAAGCGAACGATGAGCTGCAAAAGGAGAGGGACAGGCGCGAGAAAGAGGCCAAAGCAGTTGAGCTAGCATTGGAGGACAGTCACAGGAAGCGTGAAGAACTCAAATCTTGCATTGAAAAGTATCGATCTGAGTCTGAACAAGAAGCACAGAAACGTAAGATCACCGATTATGTTGTGTCACAACCAGAGACTGACTGTGTTTCTTAGAAAACCACACAATTTCCGAGCTGCAACTGAGGCTTAAAAATCAGGAGAAGGAAATAAATCGAGAAAGGGAAGCATCCACTGAACTCCAGAACCGTCTAAAAACGGAATCAAGCTTGCTGGATGAGGTGAAAACGTTCCGCTCTGACATGTCCTCACTAAGAGAAGGTAACGAGAAGTACAATGAGTGGAGTGAGAAACAGGGAAGACTAACAAACACCCTTTTGGAGAAGTAAGTCAACATGTCTCCTGGGGGAATCTTTCTAACCAACGTGTAGACTCGAGCTGATGAACAGCCATTTGGAGTCGCGCAGTGATGGCCAAATGACGAATGAAGAGGTCAAGATGATGGCGGATAGGTTAGAAACAAACATTGTCTCCCGGTATGTGATTCTTATCTCTTGCTTCATTTTCCTCTCGCACTAATCAAGCTTCCAGTTTGTTGTCTGAGATACAGAAGATAACCTCGTCTCAAAGCGATGCAAA